CATACCTTTCTTTAAAAACGCTTCATCTAGAGATCAAGAAGAAAGCAATGCCACTGTTCAATCTGTCATGAGTCTAGCACTTAAGCAGAAGGAGATCAAAAAATATCTTAGAGAATGTCAGCATGTGATAAGTTTTGATTGATTAATAATTCATGTTTTATAGACCGTATAATCCTTACTTCCATTAGAAATTCCTTAAATGCATCATAAATGTCAAAACATCAAAATTTCTATTTTCGTCATGTAATTTTCTTCATCAAAACAAAATATCAGCAACATTTGAAAAAAAATTTCTTTTTGAAATCAAAAAAATTTTAAGAACGCAAAATTATTTGAAGTCAATTGATGAGTTTGCAGTTGTCTCAAGATGTGGTGAAATGAAAAATTGATGAGTATGCAGGAATCACAGGATGTGGAGAAGCCCTGGATAATTCAATGTGAAAATATTAGCAGCAACTTTGAAATTTCCTGGAACACGTTGGTTTAATTTGGAATTAGATGCATTTAAATAGAAGGCAATTTGGGTGAGCATTTTAAGTGATGGCGTGGAATAGAGGAATGCTTGTTATCCTTTGGAAACAGACAAGTGTAAGTTTTGAATTTTGCTGATTGAAATTATTCTTTCAGCATTGCTTACACTCTTTTTCAAGATTCAGGCTGTTTGTTTAGGATCATTTACCTTCTGACTTCTTTCGCCCTTTGCCACATTCATATTAACTGCACTTCATATAAACGCACATATCTTCAAGTCTTGCCAAGTAATAAGCATTATTTATTCCTGTCACGTTGTATATTTTTTTAAGGTCCTTGCCTGTTATCTCACTCGCTTATATGTATTTTAATCTCAAAATTCTGGTTATAATTGTGCATGCTAGAAGCATATAGCAATTGTGATTTGTTTCCTAGATTCTTTTCATGATTTGAATTTCCCTTTGTGCAACTTTAAATTGCATTATTTCAGTAGATACTTTTAACAGGTCTCCATCCATATATTTAAATAAGCTTTCATTTCTTTTGAATCGGTTCCATCTTATAATCATTGGAACTTTATTTCAATTCGAATACAATTCACTTAAAAGGTTCTTTTCTGTTTCTGTTCTTGTAGATGAATATCAAAGGTGGCATGACTCGTGAAATCAGACACTTTCTAGAATATATGAAGTTTTTTTGAAGCCCAAACCTAATGAGACTACACGTCTGATGACGTCCCAAGTAAATGAGTGGATGGAAATTAAGACACAATTTATGAATTATTCATCAGTGGAATTAAAATATGGACAATATCAATTATGTGCTCCATCGTTAAGTCACAAATTCAACCCTTTGCTGGACTATTTTGATCATTCTGTTAACAAGAAAAAGGGATTATTCTCGTCCATGATAAGTTCTGTATAACATTTTTTGTTTCTTTTTCTTCAGGATAGGTCTCTAAAGCTGAAAGTGCGGAGAAAATAATCTATTTTGCTCTTTCTTCCTCTTTAGGTTTTCCTTTTTTATTAATTTCATAATTGTTGGAGTAGCTTAATTGTATGTAGTGTGTAGTTGTAGTATGTATACATAATTAGTAAGTCGATTTGATGTAGGAGTAGTTTGATGTAGCTAGTATGTAGATTATGTAGTCATAGATATTTTGCAAAACTAGTATGTAGATTGAATGTGGTGGTAGTTTGAATTAACTTTTACCAAACAGAGAGATGAATCGTCGACAAAATTGGTCAGCATCGCATCGGAAGGAATATAAAGAAGTGTTTGGCTACAACTGAAAGGCACCTAAAGACTGAGAAGACACACCAAAAAGTTGAACAAATGAATCGTTTTGCATGGATCTGAAATCTGGGAAACAACAGTTGCAGATGACAAATATCTTGCTTTTTTATCCTCGACAGGCAATTAGAGCGATTATGGCCCCTTTAAGGATGACGCGAAGAATCAAACCAGTTGAAGACAAACTCTGAGTGCGTCAATGGACCCCTGTGTAATTTCGACAAGCAAGTGAGTAAATGAGTTATTTACAAGTCAACCATTTTGGATCCTCTTAAATGCAATTCAAAATTACGAAGAATTTTCCAATTATTATGTTCTTAGGAAGATGATTCGATAACAAAAGAGAACCAGAAAGACGCGTAGTTATCATCAAAGAAGAATTCAAAAAATTGAAATTGGCACATGTTGAACAATATTGATTCTCAAAAAAATAACCAGCTTTAACAATGATATTGAAATTAAGGCTGACTTAGTGTTGAAACATTGAAACATCAGCAAACAATAAAAAGGAGCATTATGATCATCGTACAAATTTGGAATTGAAAGCTGAACTCCACCACAAATTGATTAAAAAGTTTGCAGTTTCTGAAGAAATTGAAGCATTCAAGAAGTTTTAAACTGATTGCCATTTTATGATTGAAAATTAAGGGATTCAAGAAGAAGAAGAATGAACTATTGAACCAACAAGCATCAGAAACGAGCAAGAATTTGTCACAATTGAAATGATCAACTTTTAGAAGAAGCAATTTAATTTTCAACGAGAATGCTACCAACAATTATTGATGTTCGTTAAAACTTATTGAATTAAACATGAAATATTGATGAAAAAGTATTATCCAATCATCAACTATGAAGACATCGATGACTGAAGCATGTTAACAAATTGAAAAGATCATAATTACAAAGAGAACAAGAGCTGCATCTCGATACTAATGACAAAGCTAGGAAGTCATCAATCTCTACATCATCATCCATACAAACCAGCAAGCATATCAAACATAAAGCTTTGCAAACAGTGAATGAAAAATATATTGAGGCATCAAGCAAGAAGTTTTAATTGAAAAGGGTTTTGATAACTGCTTACATGTTGAGACCCCACAAGAGCTTCAAATTAGTCATAAACCACAAAGACAGGAGGCACCAATGCAACAAATTTTAAAGGATGTGTACGTGAGGATTCAAAAGTTTGGCAAGAGATTTATAATGAAGGAAGAGACAAACTGACAACTTAGAAAATTGAGTGGAAATTCATCGCAAAACCGCTTAAAATTTAGGAGGAATCTTGGAAAGCCATAATCTTAAACTTAGCAGCATTACAGAAGAAAAATTAATGGAAAAAGCAAACATCGACTTTAAAGACTAGCAATCAAGGATTATAAGGAACTTTAAGTCAAGCAATGGTGGAAAATCAGGATTGTAACCAAAAAAGACATCAAACAAGTAAACGGTAAACGCATTGCAGTCATCTACATCCAACAACCTTAACCCATCTGACAATTTTCTCTCTTAGATCGAGTTAACGCATCCAGTAAGTAAAATCCAAAATCAATATGCGTCAAATGAATCAAATGAAGCACAAAAATAATTGTTCAATAATTTAAATACATCATCAGCTAGCTGCCAATACTTCTATGAGATGAGCGTGAATGTTTTTGTAAAAATATCATGCGAAAGGTAACTCCACATATTTATATTTAATAATTCCAATCTAGGTAATTTTTTTTATTGGTTTAAATTGATTTTTAAAATCAAACAAGAAGAAAACGCCCCACCGTCCTGCTCAAATTTTTTTTGACCCCTTAGAATGCTTCTATTTTGTGTTAAAATTTTATGGTATTATAGGTCATTAATTCAAACAATTTCAATCATCTTTTTATATTTTCAGGATAAGGAATTTTCACATGTGAGCATCCAGAAGCAGCTATGGGACAATTATTAAGCAGAAAGCATCTTCAGCTATAAGTTTTGCACCACTATGTCCACCAGGAAGTTTAACATCACCAGCATAAATTAAAAATATCAATAAATGGATGAACAACACATGACATGAAAGGTAATAGCAAAAAGTAAAGTCTAATGAACGTGACATAATTAATTTAAAAAATTTATTAACCCAGCATTTTCACCGACCTTAAAATGGATATCCAAAATAAAATTGAAGGATCATCGCAACAAGTTCGATAAAAAAAGGAAAGTTTATCTTTCCTCAACAGGATTCGACGACGAAGTAGCATAATTTTAAGCTAGATCAGCAGAAACCTGAAGAAACAACGGTGATGTTCGTTGTCAATACTTCTATGGGCTGATCGGGAATCTTCGTTTGAAAGTATGGTGCGATAAGTAACTTCAGATTTTATTAAAACTTTAAATCCAATTTAGGTAATTTTTTTTTTATTATTCTTTTAAATTGATTTTTACAATCAAAAAAAGGGAAAATGCCCCACCGTCCTGCCCAAATTTTTTTTCGGTCCTTAGAATAGTTCCATTTTGTGGCTAAAATTATATATATATTTCTAGTCACTAATTCTCTCGATTTTACACATCTTTATATATTTTCAGGATAAGGAATTTTCAGATGTGAGCAATAAGAAGCAGCAATAAGAAATTTAACACCACCAGCATAAATTCAAGAATATCAGCATAATTCCGTGGACTATCTTTATTATAAGCTTTGTATTTTGGAGCTCTCATTTATTCCTTTTATTTTTTGTATCCATGTCTATTTTCATTAACTTTACAGCAAGTCTGAATCTGTACATTTCTCATTTCAATTGACATTAGACTTCAGATTCTATAAATGTTTAGGTTTCATGAGAAGATCACTCAACAATCAATGATTGCATAACATTATTAGCATCAAATTTTCCATGCATGCCTTTTGATTACAGCATTTTGCAAGAGTTGAGGTAACTTCTCCAAATTTACTTTTCACAACAGATTGTTGCAATCCTATAATTTCATTCTTTTATATGTATTCGATCATAATTTTCTAGTAATTTTACTTCAATTTCATTACACGATCTTAAAACTCTTTAAAATAAAACATTGGGGATCTTTCAACATTTTCTTAATTGAAAAATTCTTTAAATAACTTAAAGCCAATAAAAACCTGAAATATTCATCAGACAACCAATTTGTCTATTTGAGCTCTTTTAGTTTGCGATGATGAGATGTTATCCATAGAAAATTAAGTTCCAAAAAAGTTCAATTATTATTCAATAAAAATTCTTTGAATTGTGAGCTATTGGTTCTCTTAGATTTATTAAATATATTAATGATTCTTAAAACAGTTTAATTAACGTATAGTTGCTTTACTTTTAAATTACGAATTTGACAGTTAAATGTAATTTGAATATTTTTCGATAAAAAAAGTTTTACTTCCAATATTTTCTTTCTTTCCATTAATTTAGAATCCCAATTCCATCAGTTTTCCATTCTTTTTCCAACACTTCCAGTTCGATTTCCAGTCTATTGCTACTTAATGAACAGCTTGTCAGCAAACTTCTTACTAATATCCTTATAACTCGATATTGAAGCATCCAAAATCTGCAGTTCCTTTCCAATAGCATTATTCATTGGTGATAAGCGATATGCTTGTTCTAAAGCAATTGATGCTGGTTTGTAATCACCCAAAAGTCTCAATGCTTTTCCTTTCATGAACAGAATTTTAGAGTTCTTATTGATGCTAGTTAATGCCTCAATTTGTTGTACTATAGAGATTGTCTTGTTTGGATTGTCACGTAAATTGTAGCAAATGCCTAAGTTTGTAAAGTTCTGAATCATCATTTCATTGAGTTCTCGTTTTTCATCGTCTGACTTTGTCTTACAAAATTGAAGCAATTGAACAATCTTTTCATAAATTTTAATTGCTGACTCAATCTTTCGGTTCTCAAATAGACTTTTGGCACGTAAACGTCCGTCATTATAGATAACTTTGGCATCTTGGAATGCTTTTTGAAGAGTTGGTTCCTTTAATTGATCAATATTGCTCTGATCACCAATTTCTTCAACTTTAATGACCTTCAAGTCACAAAATATGTCAGCATTAGGCAAAACTCTTGGTTCACATCCTTGTTCCTTAAACATTTTACGATATGAAATGAGAAAATACGATTGTTCGCCTGCCTTCATTGTGCCTAATGCATCCAACATGCCTTCAAGAATCTGATCAGTCTCATGTGGATTAATGATATGAGGTTTCTTATTCAGCCATGTAGAGTCAAACGGATGAGAATCTGCTTCCATATACAAGTTTCGATGATAAGTTACTCGATGCCTTGATAAATCAACAGAAATGGCAGTTTTTGGTGCTTCTATGTAGATTTTCTTCCAAACATCTTGTACAACTTCGTTCATCTTGAGCTTTAGTTCACTAAATGGCACATCTAATGGAATCAAATGATCTTCAGATCCAGGAAAGTTGTTAAAATCGATTTCACTTGAATAATCATAATTAGCGTCTTCTTCTGTGGTTTCAATCTCGAATTTGGCTCCTTCACCAAGAAAATCACTATTTCATGATAAATCACTAGTAAATTACAGTAGAATTAAGGTTTAGGTGATATTTTACCTGATTTTCACACCACTTTTCATGTTTCTCGTTCTTTGCATAAATTCATCCATTTTTCAGCTTGATCTTCAGTTGGATTGTATACTTTATACTGTTCTTAATTACTTATGTATGTATTTAATGTTAATTTAGTTGTTTCAATGCACTTTAACCAAGATTGTTTGATTTGTTGACAAAAATGTTTTTTTTTTTCATAAATTTTTTGAGTAACCGTTGAAATTTTGAATTCTGAATCTTCATTGGACCAAGAAAATAATAATAATTTATATAAACTGTCTGAATGAGCTAATGGCTTGAAGAATGAAACATTTTTAAAGCTAGAAGTAGCTCACAAAACTACAGAGACAAATTAAAAAATATAAAACTAATTGAGACATTTTAAAAACGTAAATTTCAAATTCAAATTTCTGTCGCAAAAATGAAAAAAAAAAATAAAATTCAAAAAATAACTGTCACATACCCATTCGTACCCGAGAATACTGAAGTTCAAAAACTTTTTGAACTTGGTTTGTTTACAAAATTAAATCTATTAAAAAATCATTATAATTAACTCGTTTTAAGTGAAATAATGCAACCAGATGATGATGGAGTTATTTGTCGTGAAAGAATCAAGCCAAGGAAGCTGTCAAAATCACAGAATATAGTTCATCGACTCAGAAATCGCGAACATTTTGGATACAAAACAGATATTTCGTATTTAGAGTTTTATCAAAATGTTTATCCTAATTTAACTGTAGCTAATATCGAAAAACCGGCATGCTATTTAAGGAAATTCAGTCCTTGTGGACGGTATCTGATTGCATTCAGTTCCGATCAAGCTTCGCTGGAAATATACGAGTTTCGTGGGTAAGTTTTGCATTTAAAAGTTGCTTTATATGTCATTTATTGTTTTGATATTGTTTAGGTGTTCAGCTGCTGGTGAATTGATTAATGAATGGACTGACGAAGTGGTGCCCAACATTAATAAGGATAAAGCTTATGAAATTAGGAACAAAATATTCGATAAACTCTTTAAAGTGAATTATACTCAATATAGTTTCATTCATTGATAATCCAGCAAGTTATTTCTTCAATTCTAGCTCAAACATGTCGTCAATATGGATTCTAGTGAGAAACAGTTGAACAGAGAGTGCAGTTTATTCTGTAATGATGGCAAGCATGTGATTGTTGGAGCTGCAATTTTGATTTCTGATGACTTACGGCCTCATTTCTATGAACTTTATACGAACAATGAATTTATATCTACAACAGCAAATTGTCCATTAGAGGATTACACACTTTACATCATTGATCTTATTGAAGGTAATCAAGTTTTAACGGCCTTCACATTTTTTGGAAGTTATTGGAAACTTCCAGTGATCCTTCCAAGAACTGGAAGTAGTATTTAAACCTATTCTTTATGCCAAATTTCTCTCTTTTCAGGACGAATAACAGATTCCATTGAATTTAAAATTGACAAGATAATTTTATCGCACAATCAAGGACTATATTTATACAATGATACACTAGCTGTACTCTCAATACAGCATCAAACCATTCACATTTATCACATTCTCGATGGTACTTTTATGCATGTTCGACAAATTGGAAGATTCTGCTGTAATGAGGAACAATTTTTATACACATCGACGTCATTAAATACAAATCGAGCTTTTCGAGAACCGACTATAAATAGTCTTAAGCATAGAATTTTAGTATACTTATATCAGCAAGCCAAGCTGAAAACTGAGGATGGTGATCGAGTAGCTTTAAGGAAATTTTATCAAAATTTTGATCAATATTTAGGATTAAGAATGTGGAAGATTCAGCTACTGGACGAAGATCATTTACTTATAAAGTATTCAAGTGAAGAAGTTGTAACACTAAAAGTCCATGAACCCAACAGTCATACGTCATTTTTCGTGATCTACAATATATGGGAAAAGAAGATTTTAGCAGTTTATAATAACGTTAGCGAGGAGCTGTTATATTTATTTGAAAATTTCTGTGATTCATTTCGTAATGCGAAACTATCATCCATTTCACAATGGACATGCTCGCCAAGCAACAACATTTATGCAAATTTATTGCATCAGAGATTCAAGCAGACAATAATCTCAGCAAAAGGAGGTGGAACAATTGAAGCTACAAAGAGAATTAATGCACAACTTCCAATTAGTGCTCAAAGCTATTCATCTAGTCCATATCTGGATCTTTCATTATTTCGTTATGACGATAAGTGGGTATCAATAATGGAACGTCCAAAAGCAGCGAGTGAATTTCCAATTCGTTTTTTTGCACGTGATTCCGATTTGCTTAGATTTCGAATTCATGCTGTCCAAAAGTCTGGATTGCCTGGACGAAGACTTGTTGCCTTCTGTTTTCATCCATTTCAGCCATTTGCTATAAGCGTACAAAGGATTAATACCGATTATATTGTCAATTTCCATTTATGGAGCTCGAATGTCAGAATAATGAAATAACCGTCATTTCTAATTTGATATTTTCACGTTATTTTATGCAATAAATTTTAGGGGCTGTTCACTTATGACGTCCAGGGTGGGGTAGGGGTGTTCAACAAAAAAGAACTATAGAAATTCCTGGAAATCCATTGTTCTTTTTTGAAAAACAACCGTTAATTTTGGACGTTATAAATGAACGACCCAATATAAAAATTGACGAAAAATTGAGATACCTAATATTAGTATTTGTAGGGTTTGTAGGATGCAGGCGATAGCTTAGTGTTTTTTTTAAACTGAAAACTGTATAAATCTTTGTTTACATATTTTCGGTTGACATTCCCCTGATTTAACAAGTTGATGCTCCCCAGCGATATTCAAAACAATAACCAATCCTTTTCATATTTTCTGGCTTTCTTGTTGAACCAGTTTTAACAGCATAAAATATTAAAGAATAACATATAAACAATGCTGACCTTGAAATACTGCTTCTCATGATGTTTATGTTCAAAAAAAGCCGGCTGAGCATCTGTATATCCGTAACGGTTTATAAAAATTCAAATTCCCAAAGACGCGAGATTTATTTTAACTTAGACTCAAAAAAAAAAAAAATTTGTGCCACATTAAAAAATTAAATTAAAAAGCAATTAATTAAGGTAGCGAGTCTACAATATTGTAGTTTTGTTGATTAGTGACGATGTTATAAGTTAATATATAAAATTGGTCTAAAAAGCATGTCATAGAGTGTAAATATTGAAAAAGAAATTTTTGTTTGGCAAAGTAAATAAAAATTTTCCAAAAATGTGGCATGAAGCTAGAAAACAGGTATGAAAATGTGATAAATCAATGTCATTTAAATTGCTGATAATGTTAATAGCACATTAAAGTGATTTTTAAATTTTTTTGGAAGTTTTAACGGGTTTCCAACATTTAAAGTTTTTGGAAAATAGATTGGAATTCAAATTTTTGAAAGCCATTAAAAGTTTAAATCTCGTAAGTCCGTTGAAAAGGAATGAATTTAATTTTCATTAATTAACAGGAGAAAAAGATCAAAGGAATGCTCGTTGACTACCGCAAACGAGCTGATAGACGAAAGGAGTACTATGAGAGGATTGTAAGATACATAACTTAATAATATGTAGCATAAATCATAAAAATCTATGTTTTATAGCGAGCAGATCCCATTCGATTCATGCAAATTCATGGCAGAAAGTGCAAAATCAACTTTGATGTCACAGATGTTACTGACGATACACACATGTGAGAAAGTGGAATCAAAACATTTTATGCCTTTCTATGCTCAACATAAATACTAACAACATAAAATACAATTAATTTAATTCTAGGATGCCTTGGCAGAACCAGAAAAATAATCTAATTGATAGATTTGACGTACGAGCACATCTCGATTATATTCCATCACCAAAAAAGGAAGAAAAAGACGAATCAGAGAAAGTCACAGACGAAGAACGACAATCGAATTATGAACGATATCGAGTTTTAGCACAAAATGAATTTCTGGGAATAGCGGAAGACAACTTTCTCAGACAAATTCTAATTGAAGAGCAGTTTGGAAATAATGAAAAGACTGAAAGTGACAAGAATAAGAAGAAAAACAGTCAAGCGACAGCTGCAATTGGATATAATTATGACGATTCATCTTTAGCAACAACAACTGTACCATTTTCCCAGCAAATCTTAACAATTGAGTCATCAACGTCATCAAATCGTTATGAGGAATATGCAAAAGACTATTCTGATGACTCTGACATTGATATGGACGTGTCAGTTGATGTTAAAAAAGTTGGTACACAACAAGCACATGAACTTAATAATTATGGGAAGAAATATGGAATGCATTCAAATGATTTATTTTCGTACTTAACGCGTGATGAAGATGAGAAATTATCATTAAAAGCAATGAAGGAACAGGAAGCTGATAAGATTCTTGGTGGTCGTAAAAGTCGACGAGAACGAAGATCGCAGAGAGAAAAGAGAATTCTTGGACGTGTTATTAATTCACCGCCAAGTTATGCTGCAAAAAAGGAACAAGAAAAGCCAGATGCAGAGGCTGAAGAAAGCGATAAAAGTTCTAGAGAATCAAAATCACCGTCTGTTGAAAAAATAACGTACATCACATCATTTGGTGGTGAAGAAGAACTACAGCCACATGCTAAAATTTCAATTCCTTTTAAGAAAACAGCACCAAAGAATCTTGTTAATTTGAGACGAAATGAGTCATTTGCTGATAAAGTTAGACAAAATTCTGATAAATTAAAGCATATGAATGATATGGAAAGAGATCGATATGATAGCAGGAGAAGTAGAGATCGAGATAGACGAAGTAGTTCTAGAAGACGGCATTCTAGTGCATCATCACGTTCCAGACGAAGTTATTCGAGAAAAAGACGATACAGTTCCAAATCATCGAGGTCCAGAAGTCGATCGAGGAGGCGGTACCATAGTTCTAGATCTAGGAGTCGCAAAAGGTAATTTTTTGAAGCTTTGCTGCTGTAACAGTTTCTATCGTTATTTTTTGAAAAATTCAAATTTTTGAACTTCAATCAAAAAGTTTGTGACTTATTTTTTAAACTTAATGTAATTAAAATACTTATTTTGAATCTTTATCAGGTACCGTCATCGATCATCAAGCCGTTCTAGATCCCGTTCATACAATCGACATTCGAGAAGTAGAAGAAAATCGAGTAGTTACCGGAGACATTCATCATACAAAAAATCAACCAGCCAACATGATTCAGTTAGTCGAGAAAGGTCTTACAAAAAGTCAATTTCAAGGAAAAAGTCATCAAGTAGAAAACCATCTATTAGTCGAGATCGGAAGCGATCAAGGAGCATGGTTAAAAAACGTTCAAGCAGTAAAGATCGGAAACATTCGAGTAGTAGAGACAGGAAGCGATCAAGTAGCTCATATTCTACGTCTTCGTCATCATCATCCTCGTCATCTAGCAGTACCTCAACTAATTCGCCTGAAAAACGACCAAAATCAACGTCAAAAGAGAAAAGTCTGACTGAAAAATCAAAATCTAAGTCGAAATCACCGATAAGAGAAAAGCGGTCAAGTTCGAGCCATAAGGAGACACCAATAACTGCTGAGGCACCGCCACCAATGAAAAGATATTATGGGAGAAAACGTGATGATGATAGTTCAAGTTCGTTAAGTGTGGATAGTGATGAGGATGATGATAAAAAGCATGGCTCGAACGATAGGTGAGGAATTAATATTTAAGATCTTGCGAATATGCAAATTTTGTGCTGTAAAATGATTTTTATGACTTAGTGATTTTAACAGTTTTTAGAGATCCAAATTTTGAACTTAAATTTTAACGGTACTTTAGTATTCAAATTTTTAAACTTACATATTAAATTTTTAATTTAAAAAACCGTTGAAATTTAACGAAACTTAATTTCCTTAAAATTTCTCAATCATTATTGACCCAACAGACCACAAAACCAGCAATTAACACCTTAAAAATCATAAATTATGCAAATTAATAACTTGAAACATTATTTTTATTCCTTTATAGCTCCGCTAATGATGCATACAAATTTAAATCTGTCAATAGGTCTGGAGATATCAAAGTCAGTAAGAATGTTCATTTAAGTATACAAACGAAACCAAAAAATAAATCATTTGGGCATATTATTAGGTTTAGTCATCGCAAAGTCTCTGTTAAATGTCTCCGAAATTATCTTTTTACATGTCTTATAATCCACGCTTTTAACAGACTATATTTTCATTAATTATATTAACTATTTCATTGCATTATTAAGTTCACATTTGATTTAACTTTGCCAAAAATTCTTCCACAATTTTTCCATCAAAACCAAAAACTTTTAGATTGGATTAAACAGATCGACAGTCGGTGGACCATCAATTAGCAATCCAAGAGAGAAGTTGAAAAAGAAAATGCAACTTTTGTTAAATAAGCAATGTAAGTCTTTAATCACGACTTTATTATTAACACAGAAACCAAATATTAATTATATATTTCAACACAGATAAAGCTGACAAAAAGGCTGAATCGGAACGTATTGAGCGTCAAATTCAACAACAGCAGGAACGCGATGAAGAAATGAGAGAATTGGCAATCAAACTGAGAAAACGACAGCGTGAATTGCGTCATAAATATGGTGGAGATGGAAATCAGGATTCAAGGACGAATAGTGATTCTGATGAAAATGAAATGTCAAATCGGAGACGTGACAGAGGAAATTCATCAAGTAAATCAAATTCACCTCGAAAACGAAGAAGTCGATCAGATTCTAGACACAGGAAACGTGTTAAGAAAAGCATTAGTCGCTCACCGTTAAGGTATCGAAGATCTAGAACTCGTAGCTCAGGTAGGAATCGTCGTTATTCACGTTCAAGATCCCGCGATTATCGCCGTTAAAAATTTTTCACGTTAAGTTTTCTTTTAAAACTATCCAAGCTATACAGATAATTGTGAAAATAAGTGAAATGAAAATATTTTTCAGGGTCATATTTTATACAAAATGAAATTTTTTCACATCATTTAAAATATGTTGTTTCTACACAATTCTTTTATTTTTAAAATCGTCAATTGAATAAAGAAGATAATGCAGTTTAAAGAGCTCGTTTTTGAGTGTCATTACCGCGATTTTCAGCTTCTTCTCACATTAATTTTTGCTTCGAATTGCTCTTGATGGAAGGCTAATTGATTAATAACTCTGTTTTGAGAGTATTTTGTCTGGGAATTAGAGTGTTTGATAGGTTGAAATTTTTAACGGCGTTTTTCATATTTTAACATAATGTTAATCATAGTTCCTGCTCCCAAAAGTTCTAAATGATCAAATTTGTTTCCCTCTTGATCAAAAAATTAATTTAGTCAATATTAGGCACAGCTGTAAAAGCAATGGCTTCAGTTTAGCTTAAAATGATTCAATTTTGATGAGAAAATCACTTTAAATGATAAAACATTTCTTTAAGCACCGTCCATTTACCATAACGTCTTCAAATCTACCGTAAAGTTCAATGTGAACACTCAGCCATGAGAAATTAACACAATGGCACTTGAAAAATCAAAACAAGCAAGCCAGCTAAAAACTGAATTAGATGACAATTAAGTTGGTTTATTTTCATAAGCTGTGAAGCTACTGAATGACTTGATCTGATCATTACCAACCTTTTAATTAGCGCATTAAGCATAAAACTTTAATTAAATTATGTTTTGATGATGAAATTGAATTATTATGCTGCATACTCATTTTTCCCATGAGTCATGATGTTCAGGTGCTGTCTGAAATTTATGGAAGTCCATCATCATTGACTGATCATAAATAAGTGGTTTTACTCGTGATATTCAAGTGCAGCAGTTATTTTGATTAACTTATTTATCTTGAGATTTCTGCAACTGTTTCTTGATTTATTTTTGTGGTGGCTGGTCAAGGAAGTGCTTAGCTCTGTTGAAATCACGTTCCTTTGTATTTTTTTTTTTTGTTGATGCATTCAAAAACTCTTGAATTTTAAAAGATAATAATAATAATTGTCTTAAGCAGTCTAAGAATGCATTTATCAACCATTTAACGATGCTCAGCAAGGTCAATGTTGGAATGACATTGTTTTATCTTTATACTGCAGCCAACACAACATTACCGTAATCTCTAGACAATAACGTAATTTTACATTAGTTGATGATTTAATGATGAGTTTTGTTGTTGTTAATACTCCTTCATGGGTTTTGTAATTAGATTTTAATCCTTGAATCTTGATGCTTATGTTTTCATTTACACTAGTTTGTGCTTTCTTCCGATAAAAACGATATATCCAAATCCCAAAAACAGCATAAAGTTATTTCATAAAATGTTTATTTGTACTTCTTTTCAATATAATGAATATTTATTTCAGATATAAACTTTCTGCTTAATTGGATCAAATAGCCAGAATGTCAAGAATTAGCATTATGTAAAGAAAGAATAAGAAAAATCTAGCAACTGAGCAACAAATGTTGTGTGGTCAGCAACTGCGCAGTTCAACTTAAACTCGCTTGAAATTGCCCAAAGAAAGTCATTAAGAATTCTTTTAAACAAAACCTGGTTCTGCAGCAGATCAGAATTGTATAGTATAAAAATTCTTCCAGTCACTACGCTATGTCAAAGTAGTATATGCATTCATGTCTTTAAAATTACGTCGAACATGCTTAAAAACAGTGTCAATATTCAAACTGCTAATGAAAGACACAACTATCAAACAAGACAGAGAGAAAATTATGTCATTCCAGCTACTCGTACCCAGTTAGGTAGTCAAACGTTCTTCATTAGAGGGCTAGTATTGTACAATTCTCTCGAGCAGACAGTCAAGAACAAATTTTCAATTAGTTTATTTAAATCTAGGGTTAAAGAATATTTCTATAAGACGTATTGTGATGCTAATAATAATAATAATAATAATAATTTTTAAGAACAAAATGCACTATGTAGCCAAATATGATTTAATTTTGTAACACAGCCATTTGGCTACTTACAAATAAAATGAAACACAAACCAAAAAAAAAAAATATATAAAAATGTATATCAAATTCAAATATATGAGAACTAGTATTTAACATTAGTTTAAGCTAGTTTTCAGGAATTTTCAAGCTATCACATACATCAATGATCTGACTCTAAATCTGTACTAAATTACTGCAGTAGAAGCAATGATCAGAAATTAACTTAGATCATTCTTCAACAAGACAGTGATTAGGCAATCATTGAAAACCTTAATGTAAGATTAGAAAGATTATTAAGGTCCTGGAAACGAAAATCGAACAAAACCTAACCTGTACACTGACTGAAAATCCAGTTTTTAATTGGCTTCACAATTGTTTTATAGAGATCTTGTTTTCTACAACTGAACTTTTACGACATAACTTACCTTAGCAGAAATTTACTAGTAATTTACTGGATAACTTTCCATTTGCTACTTGCTATTTACTAGTCAAAATCCAAGTTCAAATCTTCGCCAAAGACCCGCATTTTAACTTGCTAATTGACTAGTCAATTCGCTTACAATTTAACAAGTAATTTAATAGCAAATTTGTAAAAAAATTCGTTGATTTTCACGTGTTCTTTTGATTTTTCTTATTTGTGTAAATTATTGTAAACGTATTAGTGTGTACTTGATTAAAGTTAATTAAAGTACACTAACACTATGAAAAAAATAAAAGACTTAATTTAATTAAGTCGAACACTGATGAACGCCCATGACTCGCACGCAAACCTGAGGAAGATAAATAATTAATTGAAAGACATCCAAATTTGGATCTAACTTATAAAGGTGATTTCTGCGCGCTCTTGTGAAATATATGGCAAATGTCAAATTTAGAGCAAAATTTTTTATGAAGCAAAAAATTCTTTTTATAAAGCAAAAAATTCTTTTTATGACGCAAAAAATTCTTTTTATGACGCAAAAAATTCTTTTTATGACGCAAAAAATTCTTTTCATGACGCAAAAAATTCTTTTTTTGATGATTTTTCGTAAGATTCGAACTTAAGCATATTTGATCAAACATTTCACATGGTAATTTGCTATTAAATAGCAAGTGTAATTTACCAATAGTAAGTTGTTTTAATAATAACTAGTAAATTGCAAGTAGTAGAATAGAAAGACTAGCAATCTGCTAGTTAGTCTCGCTAGAGTTAGAGTTAAGAACTTAATGTTTAGTTAAAATTGTTGCACTTAAAGGGTCACTGAATTGTTGGAAAAAAGGATTAACACAACACAAATTGGACTGACCCAAACCCATGATTATGATTACAAGCTTCTACTGAACTGATCATCAACAAGCAATAAAACTGTATAATATTGCATCATAAACTAGAATCAATGTCAAACAACATTTCAAAGCGAGTTGATCAGTATAAAATTTATCAATTATCATTAAAACAAGAGTTCAAGCCGAGTCGAGTCGCTGATCGAATTAAAGTTGATTCAAATGACATCGACTTCAAACTATGATTAAAAATCTTTTGACAGAGTTTTGTATTGAATGCTTTCTCGATAGAGTAAACAGCTACTAATCGTGTTGTGTAAAACACATCCCATCACAACTCCCCCGCAATTATCAATTCAACTCCATTTCAATTTTTAAGCTATTAAGCAAACAAAATTTGTATAAAAAAATGCAATCACATTCATGGCCTAAACAAATCTTAATGAAGAAAGCAATCAAATAACACACAAGAGATTGTAAAGAGCTTTTTTTTTCAAACAAACGACATTTTAATGAATAACATATAATTTTGGAAAATGCCCCAAAAACTCTCTTATGCAATATTTCTCTCTCAAGACTTTAAAGAATGCTCGAAACATCAATTGATTTTTTTTTGGAAAACAAATATAATTAAATCTTAATAGCACTTAATTACTATTGAAGTTGATGGCAAATATGAACAAAAGATTCAATAGTGTAAGAGTCATTAAGTCCAAAAACTTAGAAGTGAAGTTTATGTATGCTGTGATGTATTATGCTATGTTTTATTTTTTGAAGTAATAGAAAACCTATTAACTCCATATGTACATTATTCTCGTGCCCTGTTGACGACTTTTTGATAATTTTTTCCCGACCAAGTAGCACCGACACAGTTTGTGTAATGCTTTACATAATCTTATCTTTTATTTCTCATCAGCAATTTACAAACTATTCTTTTGTATGCTGTCGAGTATCGAAAACATTTCCCTCTTATTCAGTCAGTGAATGATGATGTATCATTTCTCGTCGTGCATTCAAATCTTTTGTGTCCAATAGACATCATATATTATATACTCAAAATATTAAGCTAGGTAAGTGCTGAAAATTAATTGTGTGATTTTAAGTGAAGTTATGTTGTTTTTGTATTTGGAGGAATTTTGTCTATTGTCCGAGCCGCACAGTGATTTGAGGTTGCTTTTTTATATTCCGTTTGTTAATAGACTCTTGATATACAATTAATGCATGATCTTAATGTTCATCAACTATCAAAAAAACGATAACATTGTGTTTTAAATATAAGAGAGCAACCTCAAGTCTTTTATCGATTTTTAAGGTTGTCAGGTTCTGTTTCCTGAGATATACTCACTAGTTCCTAAGATACGCCCTAATCAACCAAGATATAGAACTAAGTTTGATGATTTTTCTATTCTAGCTCAGTTTTAGCTCCTTGTTGGTTAAGGATATATCTACCCACGTAACCATAAGTCGACGAATGGAAGATTTTATGTATTACATCAAAATCTTCCATGTATGTTCCATATGTACATTCCATGTATCGTACATTGGACATTATGCTAATATGAAAAGGGATGATTTTTATTCGATTTTACGTCGATTTAACGTCGATTATTTTTTTAAGAAAATTTCAATTGTTTTTTGACAGTTACAATATAAAAACCGATTAACGGAAAAATTTTGAATTTTTTTTGTATGAAAATATTTTTTGTTAATTATACTATAATTTGTAGACAAAATCTATTAAGGTAAAAAATTAATTAAGGATTTTGTCTTTGAAAAAAAGAGTAGAAGTCTTCATTTAGATGAATGATTCGCATGTAATTAATTTAATTAATTAATCACAATTTGTATGAAAATTTGGCTGTGCCTTATAAAAGTGATTTCTGATTGCACTTGTGAAGTATATAGCGGCTCAAGAAAAACGAATGTAATGGATGAAAAATCGACGTGTATTGGATCATCCAAAAAATTGTACATTTAAGTCGATTTTTTCATTGACGGCGATTTTGGTTACTGGGAAATAGTTTTGATAGACAATCATTTTGAATTGGTTGGTCTCAACTGATTTTTATCAAAATTTTGGTTAAAAATTAGATTTGAGATTTCCCCACCATGTTGTTTTCCCCTCGTTTTTCAGACCATACATTAAATGACATCCAGAATAGTTTTTGAGATTTAAGACCTACTCCAAAACTTTCAGAATAGATGTTCCTAATAAGAAACCCTTTACACCAAGCCTTTAATCTCGTCATAAAATCAAACTTAGTCATCTTCATTTGACCAAAATTGCAAGTACAGCTCGGGTTTCCCTCAAAATTGCTTCTGAAGCATAATAAATTGTTGCGATGTCGTCACAAGATTGTAATGTCAGTGGGCAATTTTCGGACAGACGTAAAAATATTGAAGATCAGCTTCATGGATGCAATGTTAATGGCAATCTATTGTACACAAGTTTTAGATTTAATGCCGCAAGTAAATCATCAGCAGGAGCATTGAACTATCGAAACAGACAATTGCCTTATATTCGACCATAAATTAATTATTATTTTTGTCGGTTACATTGAAGACTTATGCTGCTTAATGTCTTATTGCTGAGAGATATTTTCAACACATCATGCTTATGTAGTCACTTTATCTTGCTGGGCGGCTGATTGGATAACAGGCTACTTACTGGTGCGCAATTTTATGAACCGTGCAAATTTATTAATTTTCAGCCATTTCGTCACTGTCAATACGAAGGTAAATTGTCATACGAGATGGGATCGTGGATGAGTTATGCTGAATTTGGTAATGCTAACGTGCTACTGTGCAAAAAATTTAATGTCATTTAATCGCCTTACTATTTAATTGCAAAACTAATCGTGTGTATCGGAGCTTGTTGACTGTTAAAAGATGCAGGAACCATTCGATGAACTTTAAACTAGAAAGTTTAATTAATTACTTTGTTTACAAAATTATTGGAAATTTGTTTTCGCGTCATTTGATGCGAAGATGATGCAAAAAAATATTTAATTCACAAAACAAAATCATGTCAAAATCCTCCTTTTATGGAATTTTATTAGTCTTTTGAAACCCTTACAGACTGCTGCTCTTCAAACTAATCTCCTTTTAGATGCTCTATAGATCAATAAAATCGCGTGTCAACATCAACATTTCACCGTTAAAAATGCGCGTGCGAACTCTTGTCATTTTGATCTTCAGCTTCTTTTTTGTAACACTTGCCATTCCTCAAATTTCCAATAAAGCTATTAAGTCTGTCATTTGACGTCAATAAAATTCGCATAAGTTTTGAAACATTATTAAAAATTTGTTTATCGAGTCATTATTAAATAGAGTTATTCAGGTGTGATGTCTAGGATTTAGAGGGTAAAGTATAGGGTCTGGTAGATTTGTAAATGAGATTAGAACGGATTGGTGACTCAAAAGAGGGTTAGAGAGTACACGTTGATTTCTAGAGCCTCTGCTTGTGCTATTGTGATAAGTATCTGCTCAAATCGCAGTCAAACTAGATAAAGTACAATCAAGAATATGGTACACTGATCTTTAATTTTCGAGTAGCTCTTTGGCAACTAAAAACTAGCTTATTGTTGCTTGCAGCAATGTATACAAAAGCACTTAAAGACCTTCCCTATGTTGGGGGGTCCCTTCCAAAAACCCTACCTTAACATCACTGTTAAATGATCCTCCCAAAAAAATTGTGAGCTCATAATTTTTTTTTTTCAATTTCTTCTATTGTAGCCTTTTAATAAAAACTCGTTTCCCATTCATTCATGCAGTCTTTAATTTCTGTGGCTTGTTTTTTGTCTAAAAACATATACACCTCTATTGTTTTCTTTCACTCCGCTTTGTACTTTCCGTTTCTGTCTGTTGTTTTGTTGTTATTGTACGCAAATGATGATGATGATGTTTTGATGTGATGACCAAAGAAAGGAGATAGCGAGAAAAAACCCACTGACCTACTGTCGCAAATTGCCTACATTGAATGCAATACGATTACTACTCTAAGCTGTGCATATTTGACTGCGACGCTCGCCGTCGGATATTTTTTTAATTAAATTATCTCATATTGTGTTTCTTCTTATTTTTTTGGACAGACAGTCGTGTCTGAAAATGTGAAGAAAGAGTCGGTCAAAGAAGATGTACGAAATATTTTTATGAGAACTTTCGCTTTCGTTTGATGTGTCATTCACATTGGATGTTGGTTTTGAATTAAAAGAAGATGACTTTTGATGAGATCATACTGCAATAGAAATGTTGAGGAAATTACCGAAAATTATTATGACTGGAGATAATTTGTTTTAGTGAAATATGATTAAATTTTAACGAATTTTTGAAGTTTGAATTTTTGCATCACTTTTTGCCTCTTTCGATCTTTGTTTGCTTTATGGCTAATTACGAAAAATAGAAAAAGTTGTAATTTTTGGTTCCAAAATATAAGGGGTCGTTCACTTATGACGTTCAGCATTTAGGGGGGAGGGGGTCAAAAACTTTGTGGCACATTTTGACAGATGAAGGAGGGGGGGGTCAGGAAATTGTGACATCCAATTTTATTAATAAGGAAATCATAAGTTTTTGTGTCTTGGATTCGACGTCACAAGGGGGGGGGGGGCATTGACATCTGCGACAGTTTTGTGACAGAGGGGGGGTTCAAAAACTTAGGTTTTTTGGTGGACGTCATAAGTGAACGGCTCCTAATCAACTATTGCTTATATTGATTAATTGTATATTTAGGAACTTAATAAGTTCTTATACGGATTGATAAAATACTTGGTTTGTCTTACATAATAAAATGTGATGTTTATTGTCTGAATTAGAGTTGAAAACTGAATATTTGTGTGAAAAGGGGTAAACAACTATGATGATATAATAATTTTCAAAATGATCTGTTTCTGCACAATTCCTCATTTAATTCTCACACAGCTAACACGCTGGAACCTTTAAAATGTAATTCATAACAACAGACTTACAAATTATGCTACATTTATAAAAATCAAAGTTTAAAGAGCCATCACACTAAGGGTCGTTAACTTGTGACGTCTATCATTTTAGAATAAGGAGGGCGGGAGGGGGGGGGGGGGAGGGGAGAGAATAAAAAAGGCCTTTTAGAAAATGAGCAAGAGTTTGTGACAAGATGTGGGAACGTGCTTAAAATCTCAACATTTTTAAAAGACCTAACAAGTAAACGACTCCCAAGACAACAGTGCTCATTGCATCATGAATTATTGAATAGAAGAAGCAGGCAAAAAAAATTATGTATACTTGCCACCTAGGCCATCATCATGAAAGAAAGCAAAATCGATTATTTCCATCTAATTCAAAAGAAATATGTACAAAAAAAATAAAAATTGAACGTCACATCATGAAAAATAAAGGTCTCACATGGCGATAGTAGGAACATAAAAAATGAAAAATTTACTACCAAAGAAAAACCCGCGCACGTTCAATGCTAAAAAAAATTTTTTGGCTGTTTTTTTTTCTTCTCAAAATAAATAAAATTAATTAATCAAATCATTTATCGACATGTAATGAAGAATTGAAGAAATGTATTTAAGCAATAGTTGTTGGTTGGTGTACACTTAGTTAGAAACTTAAAGTCGTTCCGTACAGTTTATAGCTTGAGTGCCACTCACAGTAGAAGAAAATAAAAAATAAAAATTTAAAGTCATGTTGGTCACATCGGAAAGAATAATTTTCGTGCTTATTGGATTTATTTCAATTGCATTGTGCATGCCTGCAGTTAAGGACAATGAAGTGTATTTAGTTGACTATAGTAATGAACGTAGTAAAGATGGATCATATTCATTCAAGTGAGATAATATTAATAATTATAGTATTGATGTGATATTAATTTAATTTATAATAATTAAGCTATGAGCTTAGTGATGGTCAATCAAGGACAGAGAAAGGAACATTAAAAGATGGAAAAGATGCTGATGGAAATGATATAAAGATTTTATCTGTGACAGGCCAGTACGCATTTGTTGCACCAAATGGTCAGAAATTCGTCACCTTCTACATCTCCGATGAGGTAATGATCTATCTATTGTATTTTAATCTGTTCCTAACCATCCTATTATTACACCAAATAGAAAGGCTACAGAGTTGAAAAGATGATGACTGCTGAGGCAATTGGAAGAAGTTTGGATACGACTTTTGATGCTGATGTTAAAAGCGACGATGATCTTGCAATTGTCACAACTACGGAGAGTGAAATTGAATTGGATTCATGAACCTGTAATTTTTTTTTTCACATGATGCGATCATTACCAAATCTCATGTTTAAGTGCTATAGAAATAGTGTGAATGTAAAGAAGAACTAAAACAAGTTTTTATTGACCCCTCCGTAAATACTCAAATAAATAAATAAATATACAGGATGAAGCTGAGCATCATCCCTAATTTTATAAATAACCTCATGTTTATGATCTAGTTTTGATCTTATTAACGCATGATACATTGTTCAGCATCCCTTCTTGCATACCGAATCAACTTTTTGACCCTCAATGACCCACTTATGTCTATCAAGCAATAATTTGTCTTATGGAAAGGGTCATCATCGTAAAAAAAGTATGTAGGGGATTGGAACAAGTTTCGTGCTGTCTTCAAAGTCTTTTTTTTTAGGAGAAGATGTTACATAACTTTATGACTCTAAATGAACTTTTGTAACCCACAAAAATCTACTGATGATATTGTAATTAAAATAAATTGAAAATCATTAATTTTATGATAATGTTGAAGTAATGCCGTGATTGATGCGATCACTATGCACAGCAGATGCATCATTCTGTTTAAGAAAAGACACACATGGATTGTGATTGAAATCTCATCTGATCAATTCAATTGTCAGCTAATGTGGATGTTGGGAAATGACTACCTTTTGTCGAAATTGAATGGGAAGTTTGTGTGTGGTTGGAGTTTGTATGTAGCGCATTTTTTTAAGATGCTTGTTGTTGAAATTTTAAGATTTGTGGGAAACGAACGCACGTTGTAGCCTCCCTGGTTGGTCTTTTGAACTTAAATCTTATTGACAATACTTTATGGTTAGAAACTTTTCAATAGTAAAGCTATTAAAATATTTTTCTGACTGAGGAATCAAATCCTTCTTCTGATGAATAAGTCAAACGATATAGGTAGTATTATTATTATTCATTTGTCGACGTTACCGTCCGGAAGAATTAATATTTATAAATGTTAACTTTTACATTGATTAGTGATACATTTCATATCACTATAGGTGACGTAGAGTCAAGCTTCTAATCTTCAAATCTAGGTTTCGATTAAATTCAGGCTCTCGTTTCAATCGGGTGTGGGCGTGACGTGATACGTTTCAGGTCCGTTCTGACAATATTCCATTATAAGGTAATCTTGTAGCTATCGTTCATATTTCTCCCGCTACACTTCAAGCTTCTGATCTGCTCCTTAATCCAACGTTGCCCAAATGCCAAATTAAAGCTTGATCTCGTACATTAAGCAGTCGAAGTATCTAAACTTCTGAAAAAGAACAAATTTGCAAATGGCTGGATTCGAACCAACGATCTTTTTTTTTTTTTTTTTTTTTTTTTTTATAATAATTGATTCATTTTATTGTATTTTAGTATAAACTATTAATACAAAATATACAAGATGTAAATAAGAAGCTTAAGTACTATAACGTTACATATCACACCATAAATGTTTTAAGCATAGATATCTTCGAGTTACTATACCAAATTTGAGTCAAGCGCCTTATTTATTTGACCAGCAAGGCACTTAACTCCTTATAGACATTTAACTGCTCATAATAATAGTGGAGCTTGAGGTTGGCTCAAGTAGATTTGGATAAAACAAAAATTTAACTCAGTTTTGAGTCGAATCGTGTTGACTTTGAACTCTTGGGCTGTTTAGAGGAAACCTATCAATCCTACCCTAGAACTGAAAATTACTTTAAAGTTTACTTTGTCTTAAGCGAACTTGCCTTAGGTATCTCTAGAAACCACCGTTAGGTTTTCAATCTTATGCCCTAACACACAGCCATAGATGCCATATTCTGTACTGGCACATTCACTTACATGTAGCTCGAAACCAGAGGTTTCATATGAAATTACTTTATTATCAAAGAGCTATTAACTAACCTCCCAAACTGAACATACTCAAATCAACTATTCATCCATAAAATTCACAGCTACCGCCAAATTTCTTCGCACACATAAAAATTCAATTATCCCTCAAATCAGCTACTTCAAAAGATTTAAATTTCTTCACTATAGCAAAAAAAAAAGATTTATTCACACATTTCTAAGAATGTAAGATAATAATCATAAAGCGGCTCGCAATTTATTTTAAGCATAAATGTGTCTTCAAAAAATTATTATGTCATAGCAGTGAAATTTTGCAACGGGCGATGAGGTTGTAGTTTACTTTAATACGTGCTCTTTATGGAAATACATTTTTGACGTTTGAGCACTTACAAAAGCACTTATTGTGTCTATGACTTCGTTGTTTTGGTTTAATTTATATTCGCGTAATTAGCATAAAAATAAATTTTAACAGATTATGAGATATTGAAGATGAGAAATGTCCAGCGGTTAAACTTTTTGATAAATTAATAGAGTGTCTCTTAAAAATTGGCAATTTCTGTTAACAAACAGCCTTTTGAAATTGCCAATTTTCTTGTCTTCATTGATCTTTTGGCTTACGCGTGGTGAGAAGATTTTTTTGGGTCAAAATGTTTAGATGTAAGTGATCGCATTTATCACTTGTGCTGACCTGGGTTTTGATGGATTCATGATTTTTGGAATTTGTTACTTAATCCTATCCACAAACATGATTTAGACATCAATTCTTATTAATTTCAAGATTTACAAAGTCGAAGACTAAGATATTGCTCGACATTGCTAATATGTATAAGATGCAAAATGCACAGTTTGATCTCTGTTTGCTTAGTCATAAACAATTTGTGTCTAGTGTCTTCTTCTAAGCAGTAAATCGTGCACTGGCAGGCAACTGATTAACTGATTTAACCTAAGTTTCAATTTTTCACTTGGAAGTAGACGTCAACCTGATCAAACCACATTGAAACTGATATAAATGTTGTTTACATGGGAGATATTAGAACTAAACACCAGCCTCTTGACAGGAGCAGTTACTTTAAATTTTACTGAAGATTGCTGCATTTTGTTTCAGAGATTATTTCTGCGTTGGAGTTCGTTTGAACAATATTTCAATATATGCTGATCAGGTAACTTATCAATAAATTTAATCAATAATAGCATCAAACAAATAATTTGTACCAAAACCAAACAAATCAATCCTCCAAGATTCAAATTGACCTAAATTTTCACGACCTTGAAAATAAAAAAACTTAATTCTCTTTAAATTGTTTTCACAAGAAATATCTTCAAATTCCCCTAAAACTCTTAAAAACAATACATAAATTTTACTACTCACTACTTGAACTTATAACAAGCAGAAGATATACGATCTATAATCTCTAAGCGTGAAAATATTTAAACCCAAGTGTTGTAACAAACTTACAATTAATTTTACTACCTTTCTGCTGACGCTGTGCTGATCTAAGATAGTAAAATTAAAAGTTCACTTACAGGGAACGTGACAGTTTTGTTACATTGAAAATTAAGATTTATGGATTAGTTTATGTTACAAAAAGGGATTTGATTAATTTTAGGGTTAATGGATTTCTATTTCAGGATGTTTAAATATCCCTAAAATTGCATTATTAAGCAAAAATAAATTTTTTGTTTGAAGTCTAAAACAAAAAAAAATTATGGTAAATTCAGTAAATTCAAAGTCGCAAAGTTTCAGATAGGATTCGAATCTTTTACGTCGAATTAATTTTTGCTCAACTTACAAATCTCATATCTTCCAATTTTAACCAAATGAACAATTTTTAATTTACATCCGTTCTTGCAAAAAATCCAATCCAATTCATCAGAGCATCAACAATCCATTGTAAAAGTTCATCCAAAATAAATAAATTTTCTAATACCGACAAAATCTTCTTCATTCAAGTTCTCTTCAGCCAACCAATTAAATTTCATTGTGTAAATCTGCCACTCGAATCTTCATGAATTATTTCATAGTTTTTTGTTTTATATCCATTTCTTTCTCGCACTCGCCGAGACAACTGCCGAAATATGAAAAAAAAACGTGATACAATGTTATTCACCATACTTTTTTTTTTGAGCATCTTGTCTCAATGCTCTTTTGAGTCGGGGGTTTATAATGGGCGCTTAGACTTAACGCAATAAGTAAAGCATAAAAGCGACGGTTCAATTCATGTAAATCATCAGTATTTCTTTAAGACTCACCGTGAATAGTCATCATTATTTTTTTGTGAATAAAATAAGGTCCTAGTGTATCAGATACAAAATGAAATACATTATTGTGGCAGTTGTACTTATATCGGGAGTTTTATCTGCTCCAGCACCTCAGGAATCATCACCAGTATCTCAAGTTGTTAATGCAGCAGCAACTATTGTGAGATATTTCTTCGATTGGTACCCAAATAATGAAGGATACAGATACACGTACGTAATTTGATGGATATAGTTACTAAGTAGTGAAAAAAGTGCACAAATAACTCCAAAAAAAGTAATTAAGAACTGTAAAGTGAAAAAAAAGATCATTAATTTGTGGATAATATCTCGAAAATGAGAAGCAATTTTGTTGAAAATGCTGTTGACACATATTTCAGTGAGACCATCAAATCTTAATTGACGGATGAAGATTGTTACGACATAAAAAAGTAAAAGAAAAAAAGATAATCGAACCTGTGTTAATAATTGTCAATGTTTTACAATTAAAGATTAGTAAATGGATAATTTGTGTAAATTTGGCATAATAATCACAAGACATAGATGATTTTTGAAGGTGTTGAATATTAATTGGATAGATTTTCTGCAATCTTGAATTGGAATCTGATCTTTTGTTGTTAATTGATGCAAAGTTGAAATTTTAACACTTTAGAATTGCATTTTTTTTTTCATTTTAATTGCACTTTATTGCATTTATTGACGACATACTGTCCGGTAATAATTCACATTTTACACTTTTGTATTTGTATACATATGAATTAGTATTACGTAGGATCAAACTTCTAATCTTCAAATCTAGGTTTCAAATAAACCAAGGCTCTCGTTTCGATCTTCTGGAGGCGTGACGTAATACTTTTCAGGTCCGTTTACGTTAAAAAATCTGAGGAACTGGCATTTTGAAATATATTAAACCGGATTAAACCTTAGTGTCTCAAGCTAGACAAGATACAAGCAATTATCTTATTTAAAAGTTTTAATAATCATTTTTGCATTCAATCTAAGTTCAATCTTACTAGATTCGTCTTAGCTATACCTAATTACATAGATTCCATAACATCTCCAAACTAGTCTAGCCCGTGCATCCTAGAAAAACAATCCTTCTGTTCTCTAATGTTTCAAATTAAACATAATCTCTTAAATGAGCAAAGCTACCATAAATCTACAGTATATTCATCAAGAGATGATCTCAACCATCGAAAGCTCCAAATCATCGACAATAATTACTGATCTCTTACAATATCCAATTTTAATCAATATAATTTGACCAATTTTCATCATTAATGCCCCATAAAGAAAAAAAGTTTGTTCGCGACTGGGTTTCAAATGTCAAAAATAATATTTAACAAGCAATTTATTGGACATTAATCATAAACGCGACGAAACATTATCGTTAACTTTAAGACGATCATTTTAAAGACACACGAACGAAAAATGAAAACGAAAGTTCAAAAAAGACATGAGAAAATGTGTCAAACATTTATGTCCAATATGTTCGCGAAATGATGGAGCTTAATCTGTGCTATATTTTTGTTAAATGAATTTACATAGCGTATATTAGCTGATAATTTATCTTTGGATGCGCGTGCATATCATCTGATTGTATTTTTATTCATTTTTTCGTAATAGATATGAGTTGTCTGATGGACAAATTCGCAGTGAAGAAGGCAAATACAAAGACGGAGAAGATATTGATGGAAATCCCGTCAAAATTCTCGTAGTCCAAGGAGCCTACTCACATGTAGGACCTGGTAAGAGTCATTTAAAAAAAATTATTACATAACTTAATAATTATTAATTTCATCTGCAGATGGTGAGACATACTGGGTCAACTACCAAAGTGACGAGAATGGTTACAAGCCAAAAACAGGAAAGGGTGTAGGTGGAATCAAGCCTGGTGAGGATGCATCAATCGATCCAAATCTTTTGAAATCATTAATTGGTTAAGTGCCATAAATTACCATAAACGAAATTTCATTACAAACATGAAGACAGTCATCTTTTCGCCAATAGACTTTTTGTTTTGTACATGCTCAATCATTATTGTTAAATAAATGTTGTTTTTAATTACGAATTTAAATGCTTGTTTTTTTCCTATTTTTGGTTGTTTGTAGCAGTTTGTGGAATTCAGATTGGTTTAGCTTGAGCTTCGTTTTTTTAGGGTTGGATTTGAGTGGGTAAGTGTGCTTCTACTACTTTGATTTAATCTTTGCATATTAAGGGAGTCATCAATCAATAGTACAGAACTTGCAAACAAACTTTGAATCATATTGAAAATTTTAACTTTGTGGAACTAATCAAATGACTCTTGATCATTTTGATTAGTTCCTTAATTCAATTTGAATAGTTTTGATCAATCCTTTTTGATAGTTGTTGCTTTTTAAAACACATTCCTAATTCAAACGTAGTTATGCAAATCAAGAATGAAACTAAAATTTACTTCCAAACTTTCAAATCTTATTCTTTATAAAGTAAACAAGTCTTTAATTCAAAATAAGGAAGAAATCGACTGATTTTACAAAATTTTACACCAAAACAATTTCTGTAATGTATTTTAAAAACAAACCTTGGTAAAGAAATCAGCACTTAGATTAAGACTGTTCATGAAACATTTAAGCCTTTTTGAAAAGACAGAAGCTCTTAAGTTTGCTACACCATACACATCTTAACAGACAAATTTACATTGACATTCAACTTAAAATATTATTATTTTTAAACGATTGAATTGAAATTGTATGCAAGATATATAGATGTGCTCATACAAAAATATCGCAGTTTTTAAACGTCAAAAATTTGAATTTTCTAAAAACACTAACACTATAAAAGAAAATTTTCAATTTTTGTTTTGCAAAATTTTCAACTTTCTGTTAAGTTTTGTTGATACAGGAGTATTGCAAATGCTTTGCTATAATTAAAAGTAACTGACTAAAGTCAAATGTTGTTGCATCTGTCGATATTTAAATGAAAACTTGAAAATAGAAAATTTTAAAAATTTTTGTTTGTATAAGTACACAATAAAATAGTATGGTCGAGTATGGTCAAGTATACTCTGTATGAGCCCATCTATATATCTTGATTGTATGAAAGATCCAAGGATTAATAGTATGGAAGGTTTTTAAGACATAAATTGTTGATAACTAATTTGTTCTTTTATTCAGGAATGAAAAAATAAAGATATTCTTGCATTAATAAAGCTTTTTGTTACAATTCTTTGGATAGATTTTGCATTTATCTATTTTTGTGATGCATTGACTATTTAAGTTTTCTTTATTCAGTAGTTTGAGCTCTACAATATCTGATGTCATCAAACAGCCAATATTCAATGATCAAACTTGCATCAAAATCAAATTTCAAATGCAAAAATCACCAAATTTGAATGTTTTTATAGCAGCAAACCTGCAAAATTCGTCACCCACAAATTTTATTACTTACGAAAATCAATATCCATGTTAAGGCGTCAAGCAATCTGTAAAATTAACTGATTATAAATCCTGACCATGACAATATTTTCCTTTTTGAATTTAAACATTTAATAATCAATTTTTATATCCCAGCTATAAACAGGAATAGAAGGTAGGAGGATTGGAATGTCGATCAATGATGACAAAAGTCATTAAAGTCGGTTAAATGTCATCAAATTGACAATAATTTTTGTTGTCATGTTAAAGGTTGATAATCATGATCTGTTTTGCACCAAATATGAAGGATCACGAGCAATAAAATAATTTAATGAATTTAATAAAGCTTCATTACCTTTCTAATGCATTTTTTCGGTATTTCCAATGTGATCGAATGGCTTTGCGTTCTCTTTTTCGTTTTGTATTTTCTCATTCAAGCATTTAAAATTCAAAGCATTTCTTTTTGGCACTAAGAAGAAGGAAAGGTTGTTTTTTGCTTGGTCTATAGACATAATCAGTTATCTTATTTAACAAATATTATATGATGTCGTCAAAAGAAAATCAATAAAAGCCGTATCAAGATCATTGCGAATCTTCAGTAACGTGTTATCTTTGGAACAAGGAAGTCTACCTATAATAAAAAAAAGTCATAGACATGAAGTTTTTAATTGTTGTGATAAGTTTGACACTATCAAAGACATTAGCAGCACCAGCACCGTTACCACAAAATGATTTCGATCCAGACAGCTTAAATCTGCAAATATTTGACGAGGACAACATCAGTACACAAGGAAGACTGACACCACAGGGATTCACTCAACCATTCGACAATATAATCAAACAAAGACAAGCGGAAAGCTTTATTCCTAATGGTGCCACAGTTGTTCGATATTTCTACGATTTGGATGATCTTCATTATAAATATACGTAAGTTCAAGATCATTAATGAGCTGTAATAAATAAATAAATGCGTGCTAAATGTCTTCCTCAATAATTGATATTTCTATAAATGGGGGGATGTCCTTGTCAATTAAATCATCAGCCTATTAAGTCATTGGAATGTTGAAAAGAATAAATCAAATCAACAAAAATAATTCAGTCCTAAAGTCCGGGATGGTGATTAATTAAATGCCTTAAAGATCAAAATTAGCTAATGTGGATGATTCATAACGGAATAATTTCAAACTTGTGCCTCACTTATCAATTGCATCATTTTTATATTAACACTTTATAATTGTGGAAGTGTCAAAAGACAACAAGCTAACAAGACTTAAAAGCATGCATGAATAATCAACACATCATAAATATGGACAGTTTTTAATGGTCCATAAAATATAAATCATTTTAAATTGCATATTTTAATATTCTTCGATATTTTTAGCTATGAACTGTCTGATGGAACGATTAAGAGTGAGGAAGGATCATACAAAGTAAGATTATTGAAGATATTTAAGGAGGAAAACAACATGATGTGAAAAGTTTTGATTTAAAATTTGCAACATAATATTGATAAGGAATCAATTGAAAATTCGGAGATAATTTGCTTTCAAAACAAAACCCATCATGTTGTTATCCCCTTCAGAGAACAACAAGGGGAAATCAACATGATGGAATTTCTCAATGGTTTCTCATCAAAATTTTGGTATGAAAATTTCATATAAAATCACATCCCATCATGTTGTTATCCCCCTAAGCTAGAAATCAAATTGAACAGTTTTTAATATACTATTGATAATTTCAGGATGGAGAAGATAATGAAGGAAATCCAGTGAAGATTCTAGTCGTATCAGGAGCTTACTCATTCACAGCTCCAGGTAATATGATTCGTTTTGTCTGTTTAAATAGCTTTAATGCTTGATCATGATGTTTAGACCTAGACGCTGACTCACTAAGACGTTTTCTAGGCTTAATCATCTAGTTAACCTGACAGAATCTAAAGTAACAAAGGTTCTGCTTGGGTATCTAAAGTCTAGTCGGTGCACTGCTCTGATCTTTGCTGTTCTAGGCATCTGAGTTAAAAACAATCCAGAATCTAAAGTCCATTCTCTTGCTCTTTCAGATGGTGAAGTTTACTGGACGAAATATCAATCAGATGAAAATGGATACAGACCAACTCATGGAAAGGGAGTCGGTGGAATCAAACCCGGCGAAGATGCTGAAATTGACCCAAATCTTTTAAAATCACTTCTCGGTTAAGTGCCATCAAATCATCTCTATCATTTTATTCGCTTCATCGTGTTTACCCACCACCTCAACATTCCTTTATGCTTAATTTTATATTTGAAAAAAAAAATAAGAAAAATAGTTTTAAGTAATAAACTCATCAAAATTTGACACATCAATCGGTATATTTGTTTGAAATTCGTGTATTGTAGTTTTTTTTACATATTGCTTGCACTTTAACAATTGGCTAGTTATGTTATGTAAGGTCAATGATCTTCCGAACATCGTCAAAAATATATTATACAAAGTAATTATGCAACGATAAAAAAATTAGCATTTTTTTCTATAATCGTGAATATTTTCGTTTTTTTAGCTTATATGCATGATAGAAATTCGATGAGGTCTTTTTTTTTTGACGTGTGAAAAATGTGCACTCATTTACATACTTTTGTGTTTGAATATATTTTTAGGGGGTCTGAGGTTTTGATAATTGTTTTTTTCTAGATTGAGGTGATTTTGTGACTACTTATTTGAAAAATTATATTATGACCATCATAATCACAAAAATTCAGTTACAGAAAATTTCAAGACAAATTTATTCAAACAATGGACCCCCTTTTTGGTACTTTTGTTTGAACAAAAAAATAGAAATGTGATATTTTAGCCATTAAATGAAAAGAAATTTTATGGATTATTCTTCAATTTATATCAATGAAATTACAATAATAAACATACATCATAACTCTATTCATATTGGCTTTTGACCTCCTTTGCACCTTCTGTTTTACGCAATGACTCAGCTGCTTTCTTTGAAAAATTCACTGTAAAATCATGACACATGATTTTTATTTTATTTTGGGTATTATTTAATCAGATTTACTGAAGCTGAAGAAATAATAATCTAGAGATTATTTTGTTGAGATATTTATTGATCAATTTAAAAAATTGATACGATTTTAATGCAGATTTACAGGCAATATTTTGATAATCAAAGCAATCGGATTATTTTTCAATTTCTTCAGTTTTGTTTACAAAGTTTTTTGTTTAATTTCAGATCATTTAATAGATTTTTCAAACAGTTATTAGACATTTAAAATTAAACGTTCATTAAATATTCAAATTTTTGCATCTATTCCATTTTTGCATCTCTTAAATTTGACATAGTTTGACACCCTTTCACAAAATTATGGTGGTAAAAATTTATTCTTGGATCATTTACTTATGATGTCTATTAAAATGAGGTTATCAGGCCATAGTTTTAGTCTTACACTCACTTCTTACCAGGGGCGTAGCCAGGAATTTGAAGAGGGGGGGACAAAAAATTTAAGGGGGGGGGGGGGGTGGGTTTGTGATGTTTTCATAAAAACCTTAGAAAAATAAAGAAATTTCTGTTTACGTTGGGGGATTTATCCCCCAAATCCCCCCCCTCCTGGCACGCGCCTGCTTCTTACCCTGAAATAATAGACATCATAAGCAAACCTCCTCAAATCTTAATCGAATTTTTATTAAAATGTCCTCAAAAATTATTTAACACAGAAAAAGTCCAAGAAAGACGAGGAAAGAAGGTAAAGACATTTAAAATAATCAGTTGATAAAGCTATAAAAATGATTTATCTACCATTAATCACATAGAAAAGAGAAAGAGGAAGCTGAAAGATTGAGATTGTTAGCAGAGGAGCGTGAAAGGAATATAAAATTGATTCAAGATGAAACTCGAGAAGTTGCACTGAGAAAGCCTATCCTGGAAGATTCAGTCGCTGTTTTTGAAAGTAGTTTTATTTGATATTTTGATAAATGGGGTTTTTCATAAATGATGTCTATCAACAAATGGGATTTTTCATACCTCTGCTCCTCTTTAACGGTGTGGGATTGGTCAAAGATCAGTCTGAACAGTTCCGTACCCTTGCTATATTATCTAATATCCCAGAGCGATAGACCTCCCTCTCTTAAAATATTTTACACCATTTATGAACGATCCCAGCGATCCAGTTGATATTTCTTAAATTTAAATTCTAACAAGGTTTGCTGAAAAAAGTAAAAATCCATAAAAGACCAATAAGAGAAGAACAAGCTTGGAAGAAATACCTTAGTTGTGATCCCATCCCTGACACAAAGGTTCCATCAATTGCTAGAGCATATCTTTACCAATTTGAATGTGATTTCATAGACTATCATGATAAGCACATAAATTGGTGGCTTATGTGTGACAAGAACAGCATCATGACTCAAGATATAACCATAAAAGACAGAAGAAGACAAACAATTGATGCAAGTCGTGAACCAACTGGCAGATTTTATGATCAAAAGCTTCGATTTATGATGAAAGTTTACGAAAGCTTAGAAGATACGCTGCGAAGAAAAAAGGTGTCAAGCTCAAATCTTCAAGATCTAATAACGGTCAGTAAAGCTTAATCATCTTCTCTGTTTCATTTTCAACACGATTCGAAAACTTTGCAGATTCGAAGCTCGTTCCGTGAAAAAGCTTACGACTTTTTGGATGTATTGACATTCGAAATCTTAATGAATATTGACCGTGAAATGAAATCAATGAACCCTCATGTAGCACACTACTCATATTCGTCACCAGACTTCATCAAGTTTGTCTGGTCACTCAAAGATGTAACACTCCCAAAAAATCTGTAAGTATAAAGCTTTATTTAGCTATTCACGTGACTTCATAAATATTTTCAGAGGCAAACTTCGAAGCATTAAAGTCCAACCACTACAAATGAATGTAACAATGTCAAATGTATTGGATTTAGAGACGGCATCTGTTCGTGTTTTGTGGTTCAAACGAGATTTCTACAGTGACTATTGTCCGTCATACATGCCATCATCGTTTGACATGAAATTCCAGAATTTTGATTCCGCAATCGACGAAGAAATGAAAATGAGAAAATATTTTCGAGATAAGCGTGTGGCTGAAATGCGAGAAGCACGTGAAGTTTATGAGATAAAGATGGAAGCAATAAGGCAACAAGAAGAAGCTGATGCTAAGAATAAAAAGAATAAAGAACAAAAAATAGAACTTGTTGCTAAAAAGAATTTGAGAATTAAAGTGATTAAGGAACCGCCGATAGTTGATGACAGCACTTATGTTAATGTTGATGATGAATATTTAGCGTACGAGAATCAAATAGTTGAGGAAGAAATGCATCTTTTATCTCCTGATAGTTTGAATTTAGATAGACATGATGTAAATATGAGACAGTATCAAATTCTTGGAGGAACTTACAGAATAGAATGCTTGGAACGTCCACTACAAACTAAAGAAATTTATCAGCATCTATTTGTTAGGTTGAGTAAGTTGAATGCACGTGTGTAGAAACAGCATGTCTTAAAACTTTATTGGCCCGAACATACAATGAGTATATAAACATTATTTGTGAGCTTGCAAACTTTTGTGAAAATGTGCTCATTTTATACATTAAAGTGATGCGATCACGGTACCTTTTTGAGTATCCTCAGTAAGCACATTCCTATGTGACATGCATTAACCTCACTGAGTAAAGTCATAAGCATGCTCAAATGAGAAGACAACATACCACACGAAACATTTTTTTAATGAAACATTTTTTATTGAATATGTTTACTTATGAACATTCACAAAGAGCATTTACTCATAAACATTCTCAAAGAGCTTATACTCATGAAGATACTGAAAAGATATATGCTCAGTGAGTTTATTTATGACTATATGCTCATCTGAGCACATTCATGAGTGCAATCAGTTAAAGTCAAAAAATTCAAAAATTAATCAAGTTAAATTTGAGTTTTTTATAAGGACAATTTTATGAATAATTTTGGAAGAGTTAGAAATTATTATTAACATTTTATCTCAAATACTTAAGAAGGAAGTTTTAAAAACCGGTCACCCATCCTTGTTGAAAAACCTATTGCGTTGCTTAACTTCTGTCACCTCACACTTTTCCTTGGAGCAATTTTCTGTAAATATATAATAATTTTTATATGGCAAAACATATACTTAAATTATTATATTATTACAGGCAAACTAAGTTCTTTGAAGTTTGATACGCTACTTAATTGAACTATATTTTTATGAAATATTTGAGTTGATCAGAGCACGATCGTGAGAACATATTATGAAAAATGTCGACCAACTTAAAATTAAACTTTTTATACATTTTTATGTAAGTCGACACTTTCAAAAACGTCGACCAACTTAAAATCGAACAAAGAATACATTTTTGTGCAAGTCGACATTTTTTGAAAAATGTCGACCAACTTAAAATTAAACTTAGAATACGTTTTTATGCAGGTCGACATTTTTTAAAAATATTTTATGAGTTCAAATATTAGTTCCATGAAAGCCAAAAGATTTTGATCGTGCTTAATTCTTATAGTTTTTTAAAAGCAAAGTAATTTTTAATTTAATTCCTTTAGAAACTCTTGACATTTAATTCAGAAAACTTAAAATTGTAAAAAGTTTCGTACATTTTTGTATTACATGTCTAAATTATCAACATTTGCTTTTAAGTTGGTTGACAATTTTTTAAAAATAACATTTTGAAAAATGTCGACTATCATAAAAATGTATTCTTTGTTCGATTTTAAGTTGGTCGACATTTTTTAAAATGTCATATAGATATAATTATAATCATTATATGCTCATGAGTATGTTTAGGAAGTGTATTCATAAGAGTAAATACCAATGAGTATGTTCGTAATATTCCCATAAGCATGTTCAGTAAGTGCACTTATATGAGAACGTAAAAAAATTATGTCACACAGAAGTGAGTATGTTCTTAATATTCTCATGAGAATTTTCAGTAAGTGCACTCATACGAGTATATTCACATAAGTATGTTCTTAATATTCTCACACTCATAAAAAAAAATTAACAATGCATTGTTACTTTGTATGAAAATTTTAACAATGTCATGATTAAAATAGCGTTGACCATGAAATTGTTAAATTTAACAATGACCATTGTAAAAATTTTTGTCAACAATGAAATTGTAAAATTTAACAATCATATTGTTAAAAAAAAATTTCGAAGAAAAAATGGTCACCCATCCAAAAAGGAAATGAAATTTTGTTGCTTAACTTCCAATGTCGCCTGTTTAATCGTAATCGCATTTCTTAATTTTTTATCTGATTTGAAAGTGACAAAATAATTATTTAAATGAAAAGGTAAATTTTAAAGATAGTGAAAATGAATAAGATTTTAAATATAATTTTTTTCAAACATCAATAGAAAGTATTGAAAAATAATTTAATTAACGAATATTAATTCAAGTACAACATTTTTTAATAAAAAATCAACTTTTTTAAATTTTTATAATTCTTAAGTACACAGAAATAAAACTCATTTTTCATACTGAATTTTTATTTAATTATGATTATTCAAAACTAAAGTAAAGTTTAATTATTTAAAATTTAATATTAACGATGACCATTGTAAAATTAACAATCACCATCGTTACGTTACAATCTTATCGTTAATTGATTGTAAAAATAATTTTAACGATGAAATTGTTAACTTTTTTTTTCGTCATTTAAATTTAACAATGTCATTGTTAAATCTGGCTTACAACGAAATAACAATGAAAAATGTTAAATTTTTTTTATGAGTGCATGAGTACACTCGTTGAATGTACACGTGAGCTTATAAATTTTTTGCAAAAAAATAAAGTGAGTACATTCGTAATGAACTCCTGAGCATGCTCAGTTGAATGAGCTTGCATGAGTATAATTTTTGAGTAGACTCACTTATATGCTCACTTTTCTGAGCATTCTCTTTGTATGTTCGGGGGGATTGTTTAGGAATGCTGTCTGAAATTAGATTTTACAATCTTTCAAACTTAAGCAAATTGTAAACATTTGTTTGCTGAGATGTTCGTATTTTGACCCCAAAAGCCGTTCTGGCTAAGCCCTTGACGTCATTTCTGAACATCCCCCAATCAAATTTACACAAAAATACGGTAACACGAGAAAAATTGATTTTTTTTTGACTGATTATTTTTCTGATTAACAGATGAGCGTCCGAATGTCTTAAAATATCGAAACTTCCATCACATTTATGAAGAACCTGTTCTTAAGAATGTCAAAGAAGAGCGCAAAACATTATTTGCTGAAAAATTACTTGACGCAAAAAATAAAGCTCTTTTGGGTCTTAATAAGATTGAGATAAAATTGTCGGATAAAATTATTTGGTGGGAGGAACCGATGGCTTGTAGATTTGAGAAATGGGAAGAAAGTGATGAGTTCCTTCAATTAGATCCGGAACTTCAAGATTATAACTTAAATTATGAGAAATATAAGGAACGGGAACTTCAGAGTTTATTCAAGATGCCTTATACTCAGTTCCAGAAAAGATTAAGAATTGAAGATTTCCAATTGTCAGCATACCCAGAAAATATAAAAATCTCATCCTTAGTCAGATATTTTCTAGCTCCAATCCTACCCAATGAATTTCCACATTATGTCGAGAAACTTGAAATGTTTGAAAAGAAGGAACGAGAATGGCGATTTTATAAGGCACGACATACATCAAGTGGAGATTACATAGCAGTCGACCAAGACAAGGACATGAAAAACACAACCATTGCAACTGTTAAGATTCTTAACGACTTCTTAAAGATATTTGCTCAAAAACATTCAACACCTCGGGAACTTTTTCCTCAAAAGATTAAGAAGCATAGCCTTGAAATTGTGGAAAACCCAGAGCTATTATTGACTGTACAAAAGGCACGAGAAGAACTACAAAAGATCTTGATAATTGAAGAGGAATGTGAGCCTGAAGTTGCAAATGATATTCCACTAGAAAAGGAACCATTAATGCTTTCAGAACTTCTTGACCGAATCAATAACATCCAAAAGAGCTTGAAAGCAGTTTTCAAAATCGTACAAAATAAAATCGAAGAAGTTCCAGTTGAGAAGCCACGAAGAAAATCGATTAAAAAGATCAGAATGTCTTTAGTTCCCCGAAAATCCTTAGTAACTCCTCGCAAGTCAATCAAAAGAACTCCAAAAATGCGAAAATCCAACAGACAGAAAAGTTTCAGAATAAGATCATCTCTGATTGAAGAATCAAACACATCTGCAACTGAAGTGAATACAGAAAGCAGCACAAATGACTCAAAACTATTCCTAATTCCACATCATAAAGGCAAATGGGTTACAAAAGACATCCATGAGTCATGTTATGACGAGAAAACTAAAACATTTTCATTTTACGCTGGTTGCTGTGGAGTATTTGGACTAGCTATTAGGAAATATTACAACATGCCATTCAAAAATTGGGAACTGTATCCGATTATTGAGGAGAACGAAGATAAATATGTGTTAATGAGAATTGAAGGTCAAAAAGTATCGATTGAGTTTAAAATTACACTTGCTGGATTTACATATAAAATTTTAAAGCCCGGAAAAGTTCCAAGGCAGGAACTTCAGAAGTCTGTTAAGATTTTCGAGTTGAAAAAGGTTTGTTGTAAGATTTTGTTTATTATTGTTTACTTTTGTGTCTTTACATATCATGAATTGAATTTACAAGCTATAGAGCTCTGACTGTTCAGTTCTTCAGTTCATTTGAGTTATTTTCCTTCTAGATTCTCAGTTCACTAAATGTCAACTTATTCCCAGAACTTGATGCAAGTTGGTATGTCCCAAATATTTCAGAAAAGCATACAGCTATGGAATTTCATACTTACAAGTCAATGGCTGCTTTCTGTCTTTCATATCACTTTAAATACCACGAATGCAACCGATATGGAACTAGAAGAGAGATTGTTCTTAAATCTAAACTTTTAAAGGATCAATCGTTCACTGATGTGCTGATTACTCCTCTCAAAGTGCTGACCGTTGATCCTAAAGTTGAAACCACTGAGAATTATCAAATGAAGCTTAAATATGAAGAAAATCCACCTGATCAAGAAGTACGGAAACAAATTTTAGACAGTCCATAAATGAATCTTATTATGTATTTTATCTCTTCCAGTTTTGTGCTGATCTTTACGAGTTCTTAAAAGCCGAAGTTGACAAGACTGAGCATCGATTAAATCAAAAAAGTTTTATGATTTTTTGGCATGTTCAAGCATTATTGATGAATCTCCGTCCATTAAGCTTCTCGCAATGATCTCATATCTACAGCATGAAAAATTCTAAGCAGACATTCTCTTTTTCTATTTTTAGACCAACTAGGAACAGATAATATAATCAGGAAGTCTGTTTTGCTGTTAATTTGGATGAGCTATTGACTCATGTGACTCTGCACATTCTCTTAAAATTGCGACTTCAAGGTGTATTAGAAGTGCAATTAAAGACAGAAAATCACATGATTTGAAATAATACGAGGGGTTGTAAATTATTTTTGGCAATTCATTGTTTTAGTGACGACAATAAATCTAAAAAAATGTAGGAATGAATGCTCTATTTTGGCATGTCAAGCAAATCACTGTTCAAGGTTTATTTGTTTAACATACAGAACTGTTAAAATGCATGATTTATGCATCAGGTGACAAGATAAGTCTATTAAGTACCTGTCTCTTCTTAGCTTGTGATACTTTCACATAATTCTTCTGAGTCAATAGATTATTCGTGATAATGCATCATAATTGTTTGTTCTAGTGCAAGCTCAAATCAGAAGCTTTTTGGTGCTCATATAATTTAGTTCTTCGTGGGATGTGAGAAAAAATTGTTCTTATTGAGAATCTTAGTTGTTATTAAGAAGTAGATTTAAACATTTATTGCATTTTAAGTTCTTAATAAGTTCTTTAAGGATTGATAAAACACTTCGTTTGTCTTGCATAATAAAATGTGATTTTTATTGTCTGAAGACCGATAAGGGGTAAACAACTTGTTACAATAAATATTATTTAAATCTCAAATGAACGTTATGTTAATTGTTAAGAGAAGTGTGAGTTCGAAGACAATGCAAACCTTTATTTGTTAAACTGTTAAAATAATTACTTGATAGACTTGTGAAATATTTTGAAAAGATTTAAATGAAGCTGAAGTCAAGCTAAATGTCCAAGACCTGCCAAAAGTTATAAACAGTAGTGAACAAGAGTAAAACTAATCAATAAGATCAAAATGTGTTTTATCAGTGATCATGTAGTTTGATCAGATGTTTTGTTGTAGATTAATACAAAACCAATTAATTAAAGGATATTCATATTTACAACATTTATAACCTAACAATGAGCGAACATGGTTAAAATAAAACAATAATCCACGATTAACATAATCATGTTATGTAAACTTAATGTATCAACTATATGGATTTTTATGGTCAACCTTCTTCAGCATAACGCGTTTCCAGCAACAGATTATGTTTTGATGGAAAAAAGTCAACTTTAAAAAAAATTTATAAATAGAAATATTTTTGTTTGTGGTTTTAAGCTTTAATAAATCTTTTGGAATATACGTTTTGTGCTTCGCAGACAGCATGTGATTAACGCCAATTAATTAGAATGGAATAAATTAAGAGAATTGTGTTTTGTTCGAAGATTCTGAATAACAAGGAAGAGGATTTACTAAAAAATGAATCTTGTTCTTAAAAGAGTAGAACCAGCAATGCACGTGACTTCAGAATCAAGTTTGAATTAAAAATCAACAAAATTAGCAACAGCGCAAAAAACCAGTCATCAGCCTTCAAAAAATCATAACGATACATTGATGCTTACATACTATTGAACTTGACAGTGGAAGTGACAAAACATCTTTCCAAAATTTAGGTGAAAATAATGATGAAGTTAAGCCAGCCACACAAGGAAATCCAATGTCGAATCTTCAATGTTATCAAGTTCACAGATACAGTCAATGATGAAGTAAGCCTCAAAAAATTTACAAAAGCAAGTTCGATGAACTGAATTTTGTTGCCAGACGATTAAAAGACTTGGTAGCTGTTATGCTTGTCAAAACATAATTAAACATTCAAAATAACTAATGAATACGTGATTCCGAGATGTCTGCTGGGCTGAGAAGTAGTAAGAGTTAGAGTTAAGAATCTTTTATTCAATTTCCGACCGATATCAAAGTTTTTACTTGATTCTATCAAATTAAAAATGCAAATTTAATGATCCTCACACTTCAAGAGTCAAGAACATTCTGATCTGTTTTTAGAACTGCTCAAAAGATCGAATAAAAAATGCACAATCACTTCAAAACACTTCAATCACAACAACACAGCAAGGCATACTCAAAATTCAAATTAAAGTCGTAAACATCTTCACGTGCATCTATGTTTGATTGTTTATAGCGGATTTCATTCATTGAGCATCTTCATAAAAGTATATTGGTGCGTGCTATCGAGCAGAACAACTAGGGTTCAACCGGTTACTTCAAGGATACTTCTTAACTTTTTATGGCATCTTCTTAAAATGAGACAAAACAGAAATAAACGAGAGAAGTCGAGGAAGTTTTTACTTCTTTTATTGAGCTTTGTTTTTGGACTTTGTGCATTCTGATTATGTGATATGCTGGATTGATTAGTTTGTCGGATTGTCTGTGAGAATATGCAGTGGCTATTGAAGCAATTGTGAATTTATGCGGATTTTTTAAAGATTTAATTAAGAAAATTTGATTAAACTTTTGACAAAACTTTTTCAAAACTTTGCATCTCTTCAGCATCACCTTCGCTTAATTTCGCATTACTTCTGCGTCATTTTTGCATCACTTCAGCATCATTTTTAAATAACTTCTGAGTTTCTTTTGCATCATTTTTGCATCACTTCTGCATCATTTTTAAATAACTTCTGAGTTACTTTTGCATCATTTTTGCATCACTTCTGCATCATTTTTAAATAACTTCTGAGTTACTTTTGCATCATTTTTGCATCACTTCGGCATCATTTTTAAATAACTTCTGAGTTACTTTTGCATCATTTTTGCATCACTTCTGCATCATTTTTAAATAACTTCTGAGTTACTTTTGCATCATTTTTGCATCACTTCTGCATCATTTTTAAATAACTTCTGAGTTACTTTTGTATCACTTTGGCATCATTTTTAAATAACTTCTGAGTTTCTTTTGCATCATTTTTGCATCACTTCTGCATCATTTTTAAATAACTTCTGAGTTACTTTTGCATCATTTTTGCATCACTTCTGCATCATTTTTAATTAACTTCTAAGTTTCTTTTGCATCATTTTTGCATCATTTTTTGCATCACTTCTACATCATTTTTAAATAACTTCTGAGTTTCTTTTTTATCATTTTTGCATCACTTCTGCATCATTTTTAAATAACTTCTGAGTTACTTTTGCATTATTTTTGCATCACTTCGGCATCATTTTTAAATAACTTCTGAGTTTCTTTTTCATTATTTTTGCATCGCTTCTGCATCATTTTTAAATAACTTCTGAGTTTCTTTTGCAACATTTTTGCATCACTTTTAAATAACTTCGGAGTTTCTTTTGCATCATTTTTGCATCGCTTCTGCATCATTTTTAAATAACTTCTGAGTTTCTTTCGCATCATTTTTGCATCACTTCTGCATCATTTATAAATAACTTCTGGGTTTCTTTTGCAACATTTTTGCATCACTTTTAAATAACTTCTGAGTTTCTTTTGCATTTTTGCATCACTTCTGCATCATTTTCAAATAACTTCTGAGTTACTTCTGCGTCATTTTTGCATCACTTCGGCATCATTTTTAAATAACTTCTGAGTTTCTTTTTTTATCATTTTTGCATCACTTCTGCATCATTTTTAAATAACTTCTGAGTTACTTTTGCATTATTTTTGCATCACTTCGGCATCATTTTTAAATAACTTCTGAGTTTCTTTTTCATCATTTTTGCATCACTTAAGCATCATTTTTAAATAACTTTTGAGTTTCTTTCGCATCTTTTTTGCATCACTTCGGCAACATTTTTAAATAACTTCTGAGTTTCTTTCGCATCATTTTTGCATCACTTCTGCATCATTTATAAATAACTTCTGAGTTACTTTCGCATCACTTCTGCATAATTTTTGCATCACTTCTGAGTCACTTTCGCATCATTTTTGCATTACTTCTGCATCAGTTTTGAATCATTTCTGAGTCATATTCACATCCGTTTCCCAACTCTTTCCATTAACTTAGATAAACATTGTTTTATTTTTGCACAAAAAATATTCTATTTACATTCTCAAAATCTGCTTATTTAACCAATATTAATACACATATCGAAAACCCGAAAAGCGCCGTACGATGAGTGTAATCGTAAGTTCTTCGCTAGATTAATTCTCGCAGATATTTTTTTCCTCGTTCTCGTTCGTGAATAAAGTTTCTTCGATTCGCTAACAAAAGCTAAGGGCTCTCAATAAGAAACTGGTTAGATTTCTAAAAACCATTCGTATAAATATCAGTTGATCATATGATTCTTCTTCATTTATTTTAGAAATCTTATCGAGAACAAAACGGTATTAAATATGAATCAAAAAGTTCTAATTCTAGCAATATTTTGTGGCATTTTTATGTGTTCAAATGCAACTGGAAATATTGGATCAGTGCTATCGCCAATTATTGGTGTAAAGACAGGAATAATTGAAGCAGTACAAAAGGCAGTGAATGCAAAATATGATGCTAAATTAAAAGCACTAAATTCATTAAGTGGATTAGGAGGTGGAAGTGGAAATGGAGGTGGATTTGGTGGTTTTTCTGGTGGAAATGGAGGTGGATTAGGAAGTCTTTTTGGAGGACTTTCAGGCGGTTCAAGTGATAGTGGAAGTGGAAATATTTTAGGAGGCTCTGGAGGCAATCCATTAGCACTCATTCATTCCGTAATTAGAGGTTTTACAAGCAAACTTGGTGGATCATCAGCAAGTTCTCAAAGTATGTCATTAGATTTCGGAAATGATGATAGCTTCAATGGTGATGGTTCAAGTAGCTACGATGCATCGGCTGATGGATTAAGCTCATCATCGTCATCAGGTGGTTTCCAATCATCAGGCGGATATGATACAAATCAATATTCATCATCATCATCTCAAGGAACTCAATTCTCAGCCGATACAGGATATAACTATCAACCACCACAGCCAGCTCCCCAACCAATCCCTTATCAACCTCCTCAACCATCAAATAATGGATATAACTACCAAGCACCTCAACCAGCACCAGACTGTAATAATGGACATGGAGGTCTTTCATCAAGCGGAAATGGAAATTTTGGCGGTAGTTCATCATCTTCTGGTTCACTTTCATCAAATGGAAATGGACATGGAGGCAGTTCAGGAGGATTTGGCGGTTTCCAAAATATCTTGGGTGGTTTAAAGTAAGTTTTATTACATTTTATATCTTATTGGGTGTGGAAAAGCTATAAAAATTCTCAAAAATTATTTGTAGACAAATACCAGTTCAGATATTGACAGCCAAGAAAGGTTTGATAAACAGCAAAATTGACAAAAAGATTGCACACTTTCAAAAATCATCTGGAGGTGCTTCATACTAAAACGCAGGTGTCAAATCTCTAATACATATGTACATATAAACGAACAGACTAGACAAAGATTCACAGGCCAAGAATCATTTGTAGGATTATATTCATTTTTATGATTAAGTATTATCTTAAAATGTATTGTAAAGAAACCAACACTAAAGATATTGCTAATAGACTTAGACAATTTTTGTGTGATTCACGTAATCATTCTTCATGCTGAGATTTTTTTTCGACAAATAAAAAAGAAAGAATAAGAAGTAAAATAATGGCATTTTTCAAAAAAAAAACTTTTATTATCTCGACAAGACTTGCTTAAAATTTCAAAACCAGTTCAGGAATTCATTCATAAGCGGAAGATGTTGTTAATGAATATCAAATTAGATAAAAAACGCGTGTAGTCATCACCTCTTTATGGACATTCATTTTTTATTTGAATGATATCTTGAGATGTAGATGTATTGATCGTATAGTTGCGCATTTTCGGATGACGATGACTTGGGGTGCTTTTTTAAGAGTTTATTGGCTTTTTGGATTAAGATTTTATATCAAGTTTGATGACAGATGATTAGATTGTGTGGAATGCTTGGAATGTTTCATTAATATTGAAGTTTTTCAAGTTTAATAAATGGAATTCAAGAACAGAAAATCTTTGAGGGGCTAGCAACTATTTTTAGACTTAAAATTGTTTACATTTTGTTGCTTGACAATTGAAAAACTTTCCAATTTCTCCTAAAAGACACGCTACTAAGCTCTGTTTCCAACAAAACTTGCTAACATTTAACGAAAGAAATGCTTTTGCATTCACGGTTAAGGTCGCAGATTATGTAAATAACTGATTATCATTTTATGACGTATAAAGTGGATGCACGAGTTAATCAACAGCTGCGAATCTTTTTTTTTGCCAAAGAATAGCTGAAAGCATAGACTTGACACATATCTTCTTCTTTGTTGATATCAAATTCTCGTTGATATTGAAACGTTAATCGGAATATTAAAGGTTTTGCATATTTTTTGGTTTCGTGAAAGGAAATTTCCGTGAAGAATGAGCAAGGCTCTTTTGAAAGTTGTTGAAAAATGTATAAAAGAGAGAAGATTGCGAAATTTCTTAATCATTTGTGTTTAGGAAATTGACAAGGAATCATTATTATAGAAAGGAAGCAATATGAAGTTTCTAGTGATATCTTGTGTGATTATAAATTTCGTATCAGCGTCGCCATTCCTTAGTGGACTTTTAGGTGGTGGAGGAGGTTCAAGTAGTTCTGCAGCTAGTTCTTCAGATAGCAGTTCAGGACTTTCAGCAGATCCAAATTCAGGATTGGCGATTGGAGGGCCATCTTTAGGAGGAAGTGCTAGTGGAGGTGGTTTTCCCGGTGGAAAAATTATTGGAGATGTTCTTGGAGTTAAAATTGCTTTATTAACATTCTTGAAAAATGCAGTTAGTCCAAAAGAAGATCAAACTGCTGAATTCGGAAGTTTTGAAAATGATGGTTCATTTGGTGAGACCAGTTCTGGAGGAGCTGAAATTTCTGGATCAGGATTATCAAATACAGGATCACAAATGTTTTCAGGAAATAGTGGATTCAGTCAATTATCAGGAGGAACTAGTGAAATTTCTAGTGGATCCGCACAAACTCAAAACTTTGGTTCTGGTAGTTCTGCTCAAGGATATAACTATGAAATGCCAAAAACAAATCAAGGATACAACTATCAACCTCCAAGCACTGGCCAAGGAGTTTCTGGGGGATTGAGCTCTGGAGGATATTCTTATGAAAAACCAGTACCATTTACAAATGGATTATCATCAAGTGGATCATCATCATTCACTGCTTCACAACAAGACAGTTCTGGTATTTCAGAATTCTCAAGCGGATCAGCTACTGTAGAACAAAATGATATATCAAGTTCTGGATTTTCAAGTGATGGATTTTCAACATCAGGAGACTCAACTGATGGAGATTCTGATTTTGATTCATTTGATACACAACCAAGCACAAGCAGTAGTGGTGGTGGATTAGGTAAATATTTTATTGTTTTTTAAGAGAATCATAAAATTAATAATATTAATATTTCTTAATTTTCAAGGTTCACTGATTCAAATTCCCTTAAAACTTATTTCCACGAAAGTCGGCTTAATTCAAAGTTTATTCGGAGGAGCTAACCGCCAAGAGTCTAGAAGATTTTATTTTTAAGAATAGGAAATTTAGTCAATTATTTTATTTAATATAGTTAAACATACTTTTCAAATAAGAACAGATAAAACTAAGTGTGAAAACCAAAAAAAAAAATCAATATTCATGTATTAAAGAAGTGTAAATAGTGTAATATTTGAAGGTTGTAATAATTTGTGCTTTGAAAATTGACAATAAAGCATCGAATTTTGTACATATATATTTAATCAAATAGAATTTATGTAAAATGATAATCTTTTGGTCGATGAAAGGTTGAGATTTTGAATTGGAATTTTTGTTGATTTGATACTGTAAAATCATTGGAATCAAAAGATTATGCAAATCTTGAAGGTTAAGGTCAACATTTTTTCTGCAAAAGTGATGCGATTTATTAGTTTGGATTTAAAATGATGCAAAATATGAAAAATCAATCGATGAAGTATTTGTGAACAAATTTAAATTGTTAAGAAAATAGTAATAAATCAAATTCTGAATCTGAACGTTTTGCAACAAAATGACAATGATAAAGGTAAATAATGACAGATACAAAGCTCAATCTACATTTAACTATCCTTGTTATTTTATCAATGAACTTCATTGATTGACTTTAGATTTCAATTTGTTAAGAAGCAACGAACAACACTCTTTGACTATTTTTAAATTTCGTTCATACAAGATTCGTACACAAATGCTGTGATTGATTTACAAAAACTAGTCAACGTCATATTCCCAACAAATATTGAATGTAAAAAATCTCTTAAATGATCAAAAAGATTTTTGAAAAGATTGGGTTTTGTTCATAAATGATGCTTTAATAAAGTTAAACGTCTATCCTTATCACAAAATCTCAGACTCCTTTTCCCTTGTTTGAACTCGAATTCCTTTCCTTTGGATCTCAAACAACTTGAAGATCTATAATAAGTAAGTGAGTAACTCCTTGATGTTCTTGATAACATGAGATCTGTAAAAACTTAACAATATTATAAACAACATCATTTGTAAACTTATTCCAAAAGCAGCTAAACAATGTAAATAACGATTTAGTAGCTTTATTAATTATTCAGGTCGCTTATAACCAGCAATCACAACTTGTTTGATTAAAGTCTCAAATTTCTTAAGCTTCGCAATAGACCGTAATAAAAACTCAATGAATATGAACATTTACACATATGCAGCCCGGCTTAACTTCATGTGTCAATATGATGCCGCATTATCGGAACTGACGAGATTATGAAATTATTAAATTCATGAATATTTTTTATGTTCAATATAATTTTTTTTTCGGCAATTTCTTTATCAAAAATCAAATATTATGACCCTTTTGCCATAATAAGAAGGAGATTTATAGATTGCCTCATGTCTCATGTCACATGTCACACCTTAGACTCATCAGCAAATGTATTTGTTGACTTACTTCCTCCTCTCTTTTTACACCTTTTGTAGGAATTTCATTACACAAAAAAACTTTGTTATAAACGCATAAAGCACTAGACACTTGGTCAGTATTACTTTGGATTCTGAAACGATAACTAGCTTGACAATTTTATAAAAATGAAATTTTGTGTGCTTTTCATAAGTTGTTGTGTGCTATTTGCCATTTACATCGATTCAAGTGATGCATTTCATTTACATTTACATGGTAAAGCAAGTGGAGGTGCTCATGGACATCTTGGAGGAATTTTCTCGTAATTAGTGAAATTTTAATTAAATTTTGTGGATTTAAAATGTGATTATTAATAGGAATATTGTGGGTGCTAAAATGAATCTTGTGAAAATGCTTCATGGTTCGATTGGAGGTCATGTTCATAAGAAGCACGAGCTGTTTAAATCGTTCGGAGGTGGTCATCATCATCTTGGATAAACGATTCTTTAATTTTAATGAATTTCTTTCACTTTGAAAGGGCAATTTTATGAACTATTATTTTATTTGAGTTAACTGTAAAGCTTATTGTACAAAGATTAATCTTAAATTTGAATAAAAGCCAGGAATGATGCGTTTATTTTGTAATAAAAAGTATTATTTTTAACGGTTTTTGAGATTCAAAATTTTCAACGGTTTTTTTGAATTTAAATTTTTGAACTTTATTAGGTTCAAAACATAATGAAAGTTCAATATTGACATTTTATATTCAGACTTTGTCGAAAGCAGATCGTAAATTTGTAAGTAAATAAAACAAAAGAGTGACTAGCAAATTAAAGCCATTCATTTAATTTTCTTAGGATAAATCATAAGAAAAATGGCTAAAACAAAATCAAGTCAAGCTAGCACAACAAAAGTTGATAGTAAAGCTTCAACGCGTGCAACACCTGATATTACTGCTAATGTTGAGGTTTTTGGATCAAATAATCCATTACCAAAACTTAAGAAAAGTAAGACAACAAAGACAATGAAATCAGGACTTACTCTTCCAGTATCACGAATCCAGCGATATCTCAAGAAGGGAAATTATGCAAATCGTGTAGGCGCAGGTAATAATGCCTTAATTAGTCTATAACCTCAACATTAATAAAATCATTCAAATTATTTAACTTTAGGTGCTGCTGTATATTTGACAGCAGTTTTAGAATACTTAGTAGCCGAAGTTTTGGAGCTTGCAGGAAATGCAATGAAGGATAGCAACAAACAACGAATTATTCCGCGACACTTGTGCTTGGCAATTAAGAATGATATAGAACTGAACGAATTGATTGGAAATGCATGCATTTCTCAAGGCGGCGTGATTCCTCATATTAATCCAGTTCTCTTGCCAATCAAAACAAAACGAAAATCTGATGTTGAGTGAGTTCATAACTGATTCTTTGTTGACTGGATCTTTTGCATTAATGACATTTTCTTTTTGTCTATTTCAGCATTGTTAAAGCTCTTCAAGAGGCCAAACTGGCAGCAAAGAAGTCAAAGGAAGTTGCAAAGCCAAAAAAGACCAAGAAGGAAGCTGCAAAGAAAGCCAAACAGGAAGTGGCTGCAGAAGTCAGCAAAGATTCTGAAGTCGATGAAGATGCTGAAGCATCATCAACAAAGGATGAAATATTAAGTGATTAGTTAAATCTTGCGAATTTGAATGTTTCAACAACAAATATTTTTGACAAATGAAGATCGTATAATTTTAGATTTAAACACAGCATATAAGCATAAGCTTTTAACTCGGAATTTAGTTAAACTTTAATAACTATAATTAATTAAAATTCTTGTTTTTCGATTTAAAGGCCGATAATAATAGAAATATATAATTGATGTAAAATTCTGAGTTGAAAGGAACAATTTTGAGAAAAATCCTTACCGTCATTTAGCTTCAATAAAAAAATACTTTTGGGCGATTCTCCAGCTGTGAAATTAGCCAAAAATCACTTTCAAATTGATTTTTCTTTAAATTTTCCCACTAAAGCATGTTTGTTCTTAATTAAAACAGAAGTATTTTTCCAAATTCTATCTCTTAAAGTCATTCAGAAATCATAATTAAGCTTAAATCATTAGTTTTTTCAATATTTTTAAGCGTTGCTCGGCAACCAAAAATGGAATTCAGCTACGAAGAATCAAAAAATTACTATCAAAGAAGTATTTTTATTACACTTAATACATACTAAATGGTAGATCGTCTTTAGTTTCATCATATTTAAATAACACATTTTAGATTTAATGCTTTAATTAAGAGAAAAATCGATTCTTCGAACAAAATTCAATGTTGCCGAGCAACGCAAACGCTTTATAGGGGAAAATCTGCTCAACGAAAAATTTAAAATTTGATAAAAACCGTTAGATCTTAAAACTTTCAGTAGTTTATTTGGCACAAAAATGCTAATGATCTAAACTTTATCTTATAATAATCATTAAAATGCATATAAATTAAATTTTCAACCTACAATTGACCACAGAACCGGAAAAAATCGTTTGAAACAGATATTTTTTAACGGTTTTCTCGGTTATCTCAAATTTGAAGTGTCAAGTAAAAGAAGATTTACAATTCACTTTTGAAAAATTCAATTCTTCTGGAGAATCGCCCTTTTAAGATATAAAACTTGACTTTCTACTTTATTGGATATTTCAGTGATTCTATAAGATTCGGAGATGTCTCTTTGAAAGCTGACAACGATTCGAGTTGATTCACAAAGTTTCAACTCTTTTTGTCCACTTGTTGCCGAGGATCAGGTCCTCAAAGTTCGCTAAAGGCTAATTTTCAATTTCTTAAGATTCTATATTCAAACTCAATTTGCACAAAAACTACTCAACATTCATTTTATGATAGATTCAATCTGAGAAATCAGCATTTCAAATTCCAAAATTAGCAAATTCCATCCCAAAATGAATTGTTTAATCAGTTCCAGTCAAATACTATCCAACTATTCTTTACATCTCCTATCAATTCTTAACGATCCACTTGCTGATAGTTTAGATTACTTGAAAAATATTTGCACAATTCATTGAAGGCCACAAGATTCTTTACTTCTAATAGCTTAACAATACTTTTCAGCATTTACAGTTTGTCAGTTGGAACTAGAAGTTTAATTATGAAGAATTTAATTGCTGTATACTGTCTAATTATTGCTATAGCTAATAAATCTTGTGAATGTGCTGCAATTGAGGCACAAACAGACGAACGAGGCGATAATTTCTACAGATTCTCATACACATTGGATGATGGAACTGCTCGATATGAGGAAGGAATATTGAATGAAGTTGATGGTGTTAAGTTTTACAATGTGAATGGATTTTACAAGTATCGAGGAACAGACGAAAAAGTTTATCTTGTAAACTACACATCTGATCCAGAACATGGATATCAAGCTACTTTAAGCGGTATTTATTGATCGTAATGTAAATAGTGTTTGCATTCACGTGTTTAATGAAGATCTAAGATTCGATCAAACCTTTACTGATCATTTATTGAATTTGGTTAAAGCATTTATAAATTACTAGGCTATCCGGAGGCGCCCGTTGCGCCTCTTAACAGGGTTAAAATTTGATTACTATTATGTAAATAACTGTAAGACGCAAATAACCATAATGTTTTTAAGGTCAATCCTACCACAAAACTTTACATGGCCTCACAACCCCCTCAAACTCGGATTTCCTTAATACCTCAAAAATTTTATAAATAGCTTCACAAAACTTCACATGGTTTCACAAACCCCCTCGAACTCGGACCCCCTTAATCCTACTAAAACTTTAATTCTCCCGAAACCTACCATGTCTTTTCACAAAGCTTCGCATGGCTTCACAAAATTTTATATGGCTTCACAAAATATTCCTGACTCCAAACTTTTCCCTCAAATTCGGACCCACCCAACTGACACCCACCTTGTCAGCACCCCTCGAATCATTGGCTTCACAAAATATAACTGACACTTCCCTTGCCCCCAATCCCCACCTGACACCCACTTTGTCACCCCCACAACTGACACCCACCTTGTCAGCACCCATAGAATCATTGGCTTCACAAAATATACCTGACACCCCCATTGCCTCCATCCCCACCTGACACCCACTTTGTCACCCCCAACAACTGACACCCACCTTGTCAGCACCCATCAAATCATTGGCTTCATACGGCTTCACAAAATATACCTGACACTCCCCTTGCCCCCCCCCCCCCCTCCCTTGTTCGTTCCAGAGTCAGTGAATTGGACTTTTATATCTTTTATGGTAGTACTAGTTCATTTATGACGTCAAACGGGGGGGGGGGTCAGTAAGAAAAGTACAATAGAAACTCCTAGAATATTAATGTTCTTTTTTTTTAAAAAATGACCGTTAATATCGGAATATCGGATATCATAAGTGAACGATAACTTAATCAAACTCATTTTGTTAATGATTTTAAAATTTGAAATTCGTGATTTTGATAATAAATTAAAGCGTTTTGCTAATTGATTGAAAGGATACTAAGACCATTATATCGATTCGAAGCTTTAGCGCTAGGTAAAATAAGCTAGAAAAATTGATAAAAACTCTCAAAACCATTTAAAAATTCTAAAATTGTCTCGTGTATCAGATTCAAAAAGGTTCAAATTATAACGGTTTTTCTAATCCCATTCAATATTATAAATCTATACACTATTTACAGTTTATTAATTCTAAATTCAATATTTACTCACCAAATTCCATTAATTGATTTCAGTTGTAGGAGAAATCCAACCAATCAGTCCCGTGATAAATCCAGAATTAATTAAATCGCTGCTCGGATGAAGCGAAAATCCAATAAAACTCATCACATCCATGCCTGCTTTGGTTATATAAAAATGCTAATTCTTTTCGTTAATAAATGAACTCACGTGCGTAAACTTAACAATCAGTTTTTCCATTTCAAAAAAGTGTTGAAATTATTTTTATAATGTTCTTTGAGCGGACTGTCAGTCTGTGGACACACATTGAGGCATCAAATTGACAAAAATTAAAAAAGGCGTTTTGGATAAACGATAAAAGATTCTTTACTCACTTTAGGTCCGAACTGTCTTATTCTTATTATACATTCACAGAAAAAGTTATAAATTCATAGAAGAAATTGATGAAGCTTTCAGTCTTTCGTGTTACTTTGTCGCATTAACAAGAAATGAAGTTCTTAATCGTGGTTGCTCTTATTGTAGCTTCATCAGAAGCATTCCTTAAAAGTGGAACACTTAATCTTAGTGGAAGCTTTCAAGTACATCCATTATTAGCAAATCATCTAGCGAAACATAAACTATTAGGAGGCAGTCAGTCAAAACCAGTTGAATCAGTTCCGATTGCAGCTGCTCCAGTTGTTGAAACTCCAATTACCGAAAGTACAATTGCTGTTCAATCTGATCCAATTCCAACACAAAGTTTCCATTCCAAAATTGATTTCAACAAAATTTTAAAGTTAGTAGTCAAGTTTATATTTGCAAAGTGTATTAACTTCTAATTGCCAATATTGATTTATTCGCGACACGTAATTCTAATAAAAGATGCAAATTATTTTTTGGGAATTTTTTCGGAAGTGTTGAGTAAGAATGAATTTAAAATCAGCCAGAACTGAATTTAAAAGTGCAAACAAATAATGAATGACTTAGAAGATTCACAATTATAGCCAGTCATTGGGTTTGGTTCAAGAACTATTCATTTAAATCTCAGAATTTGTTGATTTGGGAGTGTTTTGTCAACAAGCCAAGGATAAATTCTAAAGATTAGCAAGTTTTATGTGCGAATTAGAAGCTTTATTAGTTGCTGAAAATCCCAATTTAGTTTAATTAACATTTAAAAGTTGCACAATATTAAAAAAATCCCCCAATTCTATCTTACTTCCTCATTCAAAAGAAGTTCAAAAAACAAAGGTTTGATAGATCACCAACTACATCCCATAATATTAAGGAGCGTCATTAAAGTTGTCATATTAGCAACGAAATGTCTAATAAGACACATTTTAAGTCATTTACTGTAACGGGTTTTTGGTTACAAATTTTTTTGTTGAATATTTTTGCATAAATCTAAATGTTTAATGCTGTAGACCACGATGTGAATGTACTGAAACGTAAAATATTTCGATCATCTGCGAAATTAACACATTCTTTAAAAAAAAAAATTATAATTCTAGTGACATCGTTGGAGTTAAGGTTCTTCTTCTAAAGCACATTCAACAAGGAATTAATGATAAATTTGACAGCAAACTTAGACGATTAGAGAAATTTGAGAATCATGTTAAGAATCATTTTAACAAGAATTCAGGAAGTTCATCAAACACAAATGTAGGATTAGATGCAACAATTAGCACACCAGACCATGATGTAGCTTTCGATGCTAAAGTATCAGTCAAAAGTGACTCAAGATTCGCACCAGAAATCAATATAATCACAAATGAATTTGCTAGCACTGCAACAACAGATTCTAATGACTTTGATCTTGATGATTCATCACTTAGTGCATACAAGAGTGCCAATCTTTCTGGACGAGAACCAATTGTATCCAACTGCGATCACTAAGTCATACAGTTAATGGAACTTTAATTTATTTTAAACTTTACATTTTGATGAAATAAAAGCTTTCATTGAAAAAAAAAACTTTTGTATTCTTAAATCAGTGAAGGGTTAGATCTGTGCTAGTAAAGTAAGGTATGTTTTTGGTCGCTCTGTCGATTTTTTGCCACCCTGTCGAGTTTTTTTCTCACGTAATGAAGACGAAGAATTTTCATTTTTTGTCCACCTGTGTAAAATGATCACCAAACATTCTTCTCCGCCGGTATTAAAAATCAAATAAAACTTTATACATACATAAAAGTCCGGCTTGCTTTTCTGGTTTTTAGAGTTTTAATTCTTGCAAATTCTGAATTTTTCTTCTTCTTCAAGATGAATCAAGCGACGATAAGCATATTCTGTATGTTAAGTAATGACTGAAACGTGTTTTGGATAATATCTCGTGCAACTTATCCAAATCAAATACAAGTTCAAAGACATAAGCAGTCCAAATAAAGTGATGAGCCTTATTTACATTGAAAGAAATTTGAAAATCAAGTTCAATAATTCGACAATGTCCACTAATACATGAAGATGATGTAGACTTGATGTAGTCAGTGCATGAAAATTGAGTTATGAGCTATGAATAACAATAGCGTGATAAGTCACAACTCTACGCAATTTTACCTTGCATACGTTTGGTAAATAACTCAGCCGGTTTTGCCGTGTATCGACTCTAATCTATCTTGACTGATAATTGTGTGATCGCCCATCTACATACATTCATAATAAATATATATAAAAATTATACATTGATAAATTCTGTAAGGTTTGGGGTAAATAATACACCAACAAAAAAGAATTTGAAACATTTATCTCTGCGCGTTTAGTTTTTAGTCAATTTAGTTGTTAGTAAGTTCTCAACCAAGTAAGATCGACAACAGTTTTGGCAACAATACTCTGGATATAAAATATCATTTTTTTTTATAGATTAAATTGGTCAAGATGAAATTTCTAATTGTGTTAAGTGTACTTGTGGTTTGTGCTAGTGCAAAGCCATTCTTCTTCAAACATCCACTCCTATCTGGATTATTAGGCGGTGGAGGATCAAGCAGTAATGCTGCAGCATCATCTTCATCATTTTCAGCCCCACCTCCAGAGCCTGTTTTCGTCCCCGCACCCCCTCCCCCAGCACCAGTATATCACCCTGAACCCGCCCCAGCACCTATTTCTTCAGGACCAGCTTCAAATCCATTAGGTGGTCTTCACAGCCTTATTATGTAAGATTTAAAAAAACGTGAAATTCTTAATTAGGTAAAATTTGCATATTTTTTTCTTCTTTATCTTCTTGTTCGTGAACAGGATCCCGCTCAACATTAAGAAAAGTCTTCTTCAAGCACATCAAGCCAAATTTAACAAGAAAATCCAACACATTCTTGGAGCTTTCTCAAAATTCGGTTCATTAGGTGGCGGTGGAGGTAGTGGAAATAGCATTTCAGGCCCAGAACCTCCATTAGTGCCTGTTGGACCCCCAGAACCCCTCCCACCTCCGATTTCATATCCACCACCAATCCAACCAGCACCAACTGGTGGATTAAGCGGTGGTAATGTTGACTATAATGCCTTAGGTGGAGGTCAATCATCATACTCAAGCAGTGGCAGTCAGTCAAGCTCTTCAGGCAGTGGCCTTTCTACAGGAGGTAATGTACAGACATTCCATCCACAACCAGCACCGAACACAAACTACCATAGCAGTCCAATTGTCCTCTACTTGTACCCAGTAGATCAATCCTCGTCACATGCTTCAAGCGGATCAAGTTCAGTTGATTTCCAACCAGCTCCAATTGCACCTCAACCTGATTGCAATCATCCAGCTCCTCAGCCTGCTCCTTTTGTACCCCAACCTGCTCCATTTGTACCACAACCTGCTCCATTTGTGCCTGAACCAGCACCTTTCATTCCCGAGCCAATCGCTCCACAACAAACTTATGGACCACCAGATTATGAGCCAGCACAGCCAATTTCTACATCATTCTCATCAGGAACAGCTTCATCGTCAAGCTTTGATTTTGAGCCACAAGTAAGTCAACCAGCTCCACAGCCACCAAACACTTATTTACCACCATCATATAAGAGACGTTTCTAATTAACAGAATAAGAATTAATTATTTATAAAAAAAGAAGTAAGCTTGACATTCTCGCCATTTTCTAAGTTTATAAATAGAAGATGATTTAAATGCGAGCCAGTAAAATTGAATATACTCTATAATATTATGTATAGGGATCACTGTATCTGCCATAGATTTGTCTTAATCAATCGAATGTACAATGTACAATACTGTAATTAATATTATGTAATGATTGTCATGTCCAAAATTTTCATTTTAATAATAATAATGATAATAAAAAAAAATACAGATAAAAAATGTTAAAACCAACACTTTAGATCTATTTTACTATTTTGTTACCAAGCTGCTAATCGATTCCACTCTCAAATGTGTGTACTTATCAATATTCATGCGTGAATTTGTTAGCATAGAAATATTCTTCATTACATTTCGCTTCTTGTTTGATCGAGAAGATGATAAAATAAGAAAAATAAAAATTTCTTGATGGCCTTGAAAAAGCTTGAAGAAGAAAACTTGCCGATCAGTTTTTGAGTATTAGAAATTTAAATAACAAAATTTGTTAATATTCCAGTCAAAGCGTGTGCTTATGGAATAATATAGTAGGGCCTCGACGATTTTTTTTGGATTATTGCTCAACGGAAAAATTAAATTTGAAATTCACTAACACTATATTACAAAACATCAAAAATTAAATTCTCAAATATCTTAATTATTCAATCATTATTCCCAAATATTATGATATGATTACGAAAAGTAGATAATACATTAGCTATTCTGTCTATTTTAAGAGCTTTAACGTCATTATTGAGTGATATTTTCATGATTTTTTAAATTTCATTTCAATTTTTGTTTGTAAACAAACATCTCACGAAATTCAGATGGAAAAGTCAAGTAAAATACCTTGGAATTATTCTAGATGCAAAATTAACGCACAAGAGTCATGTTGATTGGATATTGCGAAAAGCAAAGTCTGTTGCGTTCTCTCAGCTGTATTGCTTGCTTAAACGAAATTCGGAATTCACAGTTGATTCAAAACTCAGAATTTATAAATCTATAATAAGACCAGTCGTCGCTTATGGATGTAGCATTTTCATTAATTGTGCAGCTTCACACTTAAACAAAATCCAAATTTTCCAAAATAAAGTTTTGAGATACGTTCTTGACATCAATTGGGATGATTTCGTCTCAAATCTTGAAGTTCATAGTCGAGCAAAGATTCCATTCATTCATGGCTGATTTCTTTAATAAACTTACAGTCAACTTTTATCATAGAACTGACAGTCATAAGAACACGTTGATCAATAATCTTGGAAAATACGACTACTCTCATCTTGAATATCGACTTAAACACAAACTTCCAAGACCTGTAACATTACTGTAAAAGTTATGGGTATCATTATTCAGTTTCCAAGTGGTTCTTCTAACTACTTTATATGTTTTTTATACTTACCTGAGTACTTATTCACTTTTTTTTATATAAAATTTTCCTCACGTTGGGTTGTTTTTTCAATTTTTTAGCCCACATAAACAATTCACTCATTTAACTTATAAACATTATCACATTATCTACATAAACACTCATGCTTTAATAATGAGTTAAAACCGCAAAGGTTGGTATCATTAATGTTAACTGCAATTTTTGTAAAAAAAACCAAATCTACCAAAGTTCATTACAATAAAGACAAACTTTCTTTCTTAAGTATGTTTTGGGGACAATTTATGACTTTTTTTGAAACCAAACAAAAGAGAATAAAATTTCTGATCTAAAAAAATACATTTGAAGATATATCAATGAAAACTGAACTGACAAAGTAATGGCAAAATTCCCAAAAATTATTCGTGAGTGACGCTTAGTTAAAGTGATTTTCCGACATAACTGATTAACTTTAGGAAGTACAACAATAAAGGAAGTACGACAAAAGTACAATAATAAATAATAATAATAATAATAATAATAATAATAAGTAAGTTGCATGTCAAAAGATAGAAATTTTTGTTTCCTACAAGATAAAATAACTTTGAAATTTGTCACTTTTGTGATTTCGGAGATATTTAAGATTTTAAAGCGTCACTCACGAATAATTTTTTTTTGTCGGGGCCCAGTAAGATTAAGCTATTGTCGCTGTCTATTTCTTTCCTTCCGATCTTCAAACAACTGCACAATTGTCTGTTAATTACATAAAATAGATTTAAATGTTGTATAACTAATAAATATTGAACTGTGGTACATCTTGTTCAACATCTTAGTTTAATGACTGGCTTGCTGCGGCACTTGACAAAGAGAGAAGTTGGTTTGCTAGTTTATTGAGTTAGGTTGTGCAGATCACTGCAAACTTATTAAAACAATTCTTTGTCAAGTGCCGCAGCAAGCCAGTCATTAAAATATGATGTTGACCAAGATGTACCACAGTTCAAATTACATTTTATCATCCACGAGATCGCAATAAATCCATAAACACGCTTGAATTTTAACCTCTTGCACATCAAAATTGAAAAGGCATCAAATTTTTTTTTAATATTCAGCATATCGATAAAACCATACATTTGATAAAGATTCAACAGTCACATCGGCGCGTGATAATGCTTTGATCCATCATAAAGTATGTTAATGACCTTGTTGAGCATATCAGCATTCAGTGGACATATCATATTTCTTATAGGTCAATGTCATGTATGTTTTAGTTCCGCTTTTAATGCTCATGATGTCTTGGTCTATTAATAAGAAGCTGCGAAAAATTCTGACAAGCTTCATTCATTGATCTTTTTTGCGCCAATTTTGATCACGTGTGTGGATACTGTGCGTATGTTTTACTGAATCGGACGAGTTCTTTTGTATATCTTGATGTTAATTAGATTGAGTCTTGTAAGCGGAACTAAATTGGAAGCTGATAATGTAGTTTGATAACGAGAATTGTTGGAAAAACCCAAATATAAGATTGATAAGCACTTTAAATGGCTAATTCAACCATTGATGAACATGTTTCTTAATTTTGGAAGTGACTGGAAATTTCCGTTAACTTCAGGATTTGACTGGAAGTTTCCATTAACATCTGGAATTGATTGAAAGTTTTCATTCACATCTGGAATTGACTAGAAGTTTCCTTTAACATCTGGAATTGACTGGAAGTTTCTACTCGAAAACTGAAATTACTTGAAGTTTCAACTGGAAAACTGGAATTCTTAGCTTAATCACTGGAAATGTTTGAACAAAGCTTGACAAATCTTGAAAAAGAATAAGCCTTATCGAAATTTTTTAATAATAATTATATGTAGATATCTTCTATATTTCTAAGATGCGAGATAAAATAATAGCCTTGAATAGACTTATACATAGTTTTTGAGTTGCTTCTAAATATTACATAGTTTTTGTTTGAAATTATCAGCATGCTTGTAAATCCTATTGGATATAATTTTATCATTTTCCATATTAGGTCGATATCTTCTTCAAACTTAATTTGATTATAAAATATCTTGAGTATAGACTAGAATTAAATATATATATATATATGAGAATGTATGTAAATGCTAAATGACATAAAGCGATAAACATATTAAATTATTATAATTAACGGCTATAGGAGCGTGAATGACGATTTGAACGTCGGTCATCATAGCGATGACGATGATATGAATGACTGCGATACTTTGAACGACGATCATCATTATGCGACTGACGAATTCCCATATAAACTCCTGGAGTTGGTGTATGAGCTCGTTTAGTAATGCTATAATCAACACGAATACGCTTTCCATTCAATCGCATTCCATTACAATCTCGTCTTGCCTCAGTTGCGTCATTAACATAGTAAAAGTATACAAAGCCAAATCCACGAGAATTACCGCTTTTTGCATCGTACACAATACGAATGTTTTGAATTGGTCCTAAAGAGAGCAAGAATAGAATTATAATTAAGCTTTTAAACAGGATTTTGAGTGTTATGGTTCCAATGCAGAGCAATGACATAAGAAATTAGTCAACTTTCATTCAGAAAATTCAGAAATTTACTTTCATTAAGTTCACATCACAAAAGCTTAAAAGTTGTGGACTGGAAATTTAAAATTTTGCGGTTGATTTTAGTATAAAATTCAAAATAATTTTTTCCGTTAAACGAAGAACTTTAAAAACTCAATTTAAAATGTTATTATTGTGAGCTTACCATAACGGGAAAAAATGTCAGCTAAATCGTCTTCTATTGTTCTGCTGCTTAAGCCAAAAACACCCAAAACTCTTGATTTATTCGGGTTTTCTCGAGTCCCATAATAACGAATTCGCTTGGAATTATCAGGACTTTTGGAAGGAGTACTCGAGTATGATCTATCACGACGTGATCTCTTCCTCGAACGTTCAGGAGATGCACTTCGCTTGTCAGAAATCGAGTCATAATAGCGTTTGCGACTTGATGAATTTGAATCGTTGTTTTCGTCATATTCTTCATGATTTTCATCATATTCTTCATGACTTTCTTGCTTTTCTTCATGCTTCATCTTTAAAGCTACTTAATTATACTTAATTTATGCACAGATAACAAGTTATTACTAAGTTAATTTAATTTTTTTCACAGATTGTTCTGTTCTTGCAGAAATCAAAATCAAAACTGAAATTTTCGCGGGTCTTGTGACTAGTTCTTTTTCATTGAAATTAAAATTTGTGAAATTTATTGCATTCCTGGTCAGTAAATAGTAGTTTAACCTATTCGTGTTGATAACTAGTCATTAAACTATTGAATAATGTTAATATGAGTAGGAGAATATGCAAGGAAAGTAGAGAAATTAGTAATATTAAAAATTCATTCATTAATGACAAGCCCTATGTTCAAATTTTGAACTTCAAGCACTCAAATTCAAATCGACAGTTTGAAATTTTCAACGAACTCTTTAAAAAATCCTTAAATTCGCAAATAACTTGATTAAACATCGTTAAAAAGATTCCAGACTCATGTAAATCAATAAAATCACCACATATCATGCTATATGAAAAAAGAGAACTACAAATATTTACGATGAGCTGTTAAAAAGCTGTTATGAAATAAGTTATTGTACAAAAACGTCTCTTTTTATGAATGAAGTCTACTTAAAGTCTATTTGTGGAGCAATAACACGTGTGTGGCGTTTTTTTCTCTCTTCTCCCGGTTAGTGTCAATATTAATTGACTTGTGTTCATCGATGTTTACATATCAAATTACTAAATCTTTTATTTTTTCGCGATGTTCAAGTCGTTGTGGCTGTTAAATATTTCTATGCATTTTTGAGTCTCAATTGAGTCGGTGAAGGAAGCTATTAATGAATTGAAACTATCAGTTTAATATGCAAATATTGACAGATTTAGTAGAAAATTTAATTTACACACGCTAGGAGTTGTTTGAATGTGACGTCACTGTTTTGATAAAGAGGGAGGGGAGGGGGGGGGGGGGGGGGGTGGGAGGTGTCAAACAAAGAACTAAGAAAGATATCAAATCAAAAGCGATCGATCTCGATACCTATCCCTTCTTCCATCAACTTCACACATCGTCATTCATATTAATAGCATTACTTACCGGAGTTATAAATGCTTATTCGGTATTTCCGATTCATCAACTAACCAAATGACGTAATTTATAGACAAGTTTCTTTCGGTTCATTTAAAACATTTTAGATATTCCATCACTTCTCTTGTTTATTTTAAGCTAAACTAGATTTCCTTGTACATGCATCAACATTACATCTTAAAATTCTTTAACCCAATCGAATAATAAAATGAAGAAAATGCGACCCTTTTCGCCTTTTTTTAAAAGAGATTCTAAGGAGCATATAACCCTTATTTACATATCAATGTGAACTAATGGCTATGGTTTTTGCGATATTTAGGAGAAAATGATGTTAAGAAGTTAAGATATTATGGACTTAATTTATGCTCGTGACGCATTTGGAGTCACATTTTTGGATGTACATTGGAGTCATGTGGAATTTTTAGTAATTATAATGAACTTGACGTCATGGTTTTGGATATTTAGAATTTTTGGAATCATAATTAGCATATAAGATGATCTTGTGACGTTCTTTGTATTACGGATTGGTCAGTGGTTATCAAAATACTCTAGGTAAGTGCCACATGACACTAGTGTACCGCAAACTCCTCAAAATGATGCTTAGTGAACCGGAGGCTAGGACTTCTAGTAGGAATAGAGCCGTAAAAGTTGCAGGGAACTAAGGTTCGTTGCTTAACTATAGCTTGATATTCCAGATTTCACTCTAGCTCTTAGGTTGTAATAAATCCTAAATCCTAGTATTACTGGAATTTAACTTCAGGAATATCCAAGAAATCAACCTTGCAAACACGTGATTTCATTAAATAGTCTTGATTTCCATAAAATCAGCTATTTAAGTTTACGAATGCTAATTAACAAATTCCAATCATCAGAATATAAAATCAATTCGAAACTTCTAATCAAACAAAGTGTACGTGCTAGAAGCTCAAATTCCAAGAAATATCGCGTCAATGAATTTTCTAATAAACTTACATGCAAAGAATGTGTCGACGAGAAATGTTAAAAATGTTCGTCTACGCATACATAAAATTCTATTCTACATCGAGACTATAGAGTAGCATGAAAGTAGTTTGAATCTTGATTTATTAAGGGTTCACATCAACTGGACATTTTAAAGAACATTTCTTTTTCTCCTTTTAACCCCATTGCTTCTTTTTAGACATTCAGAACTTTACTTGTGCATGTTTAAGACATAATAGAAATAGATTGGGTTACACTCTATGAATAAGAAAACAAGTTTTTACTTCTATTTTTCTTGTGCTCGGTAAAAGTTCACATTTCAATAAAAAAAAATGGGTGAAATGGTTAGAAAATTATGCATGAATTTGAGGAGAGAGAGGTCTCTTGTGCGATATTAAAACGCCCAAAATGTCAAGTTTCCTTCATGGTGAGTGATAAAGGTTTTTTTTATTATTCACATATACACCATTCCTATACCAGTAATGAAATTAACCTTTCTTCGTCCTCAACTAGATCTTAATGTTCTGAGGTAACATGTAAAGGAATAAAATGCTCAATGCATATGTCATTTTAATGAATTTCTTTTATTTCTTTTCAAGACAATTAACATCCGGAGGTTTTTAAAAGGAATTTTGTGACAGTTTTTTTATGATGATTTTTAGCTGTAGTTTCGTGAGATTTCAAGAATGGTTTGTGAATTATGAGAGTTTATACTTGATATTTAGTGATTGGATTGGTAAAAATATTGAATTTTAAGTTTAAAGTGCAATAAGTTGAATTTTGTTGATTTTGGAGTTTTTTGTTTACGTTTTAGGAAAATATATTGTGCAGAAGATTTCTAGAGGTTTGATTAATCTCAATCATTTGGCAATACGAACGTTTGCAACCTTTTGTTAAACTTTATATTTTTTCAATCAAATTGAACTAAAACATTTAGAGCTAGAATTTAAATCTCAGCATTGTTAATCAATATATGAACAGCACAATCCTAATCAAAACGTTTCATTACCTCATTTCACAACGATTTAGAATTATTATTATTATTATTATTATTATTATTTATTTATTACTCGCAACGAAAAGCCATGTGAAAAGTATTTAAACCAGTGTTGCAAATGTAGATGTCTACACTAGATGAAGAATGTAGATTCTTCAATAGTTTTCGTCTAGCTAAGAAACTTTCTTCATAAAGATCAATTCTATATGAAGATAGACAATCTAATCTACACTAAGATTATTTCTACATAAAGATTCTGTCTACATAAAGATTCGATGTAGATGTCTACAATTCTACATTTTTTCCAGGCCTACATCAGAGAAGAATGTAGAATTGTAGACATCTACATCGAATCTTTATGTAGACAGAATCTTTATGTAGAAATAATCTTTGTGTAGATTAGATTTTCTATCTTCACATAGAATCGATCTTTATGAAGAAATTTCTGTCTCAGAATTTATCTGATCCAGACAAATCGCCAGAATGCAACACTGATTTAAACCAATTTAAACTATTTCAGATGGCATAAAAACCTTACTTAACCTTTTCATCGAAACTTTACTTACAGAATCGAAAAAAATGTTCAAAAATTCAGGTTAATTAAACTTTGTCTTTTAAATGCCAGATTAAAGATCTTACCTATATGCATATCCTTTAAAAATATCTCGTTCCTATTTGCTGTCTAACTCCAGAAATCATTAATTTAATCTCACCCAAAATTTGTTTACAATTTGAGTATGAAAAAAATATGATTTTTTCTACTTTAAGTTGTTATTTTGATGTCTTGGAAGCAGTTGTTAGCTAATTTAACCTTAGCTTTAAATATTAAAACAATCAACTCAATAGAAATCTGCTTATTAAGCCTTAAAAATGAATTGAAATCTGAGTATTTTTACAAAACTTAAACTATTCATAAGTTAAAAAGTCTTCCAAAGACCTCTCTGAAACCTATACAAATCAATTAATTAAGCTTAAATCTATCTCCCATACAACTGGGGACATGCCGTTTGATGCCGTTTTCGAGATATTTGCGATCAAAGTTTTCATAAAATTTCATACAAAATTTGATCATGCACACTATTTTTTGATAAACTTTTACAAACTTTTGGTAAAAAATCATGTTTATCCTTTATGTTAAGGACTGATTTTTTGAATGAACGAAAACATTATTTAGAAGATGCTAAAAGAATCAAATCAAGAGAAATTAACAACAACTTTCAATTTTCTAATGTGTCAGAAAAATATTGTGCACAAGGAATTTTTGAACATTTTTTCCGAATCTGAATCATTATGCATTTGAACCTTATATTGCTTAATAATGCTCTTCCGACGTCATCCTAATAAGAATCTTCAAACTTAAGTTCTATTCTTCAATGTCTTTGATGACATATTCTTAAACAAGCAAAATATTCACTTTAAAACGGAACTAAGTCTTCAGTTCTCTACAATAAATCGGGTGACGTTAAAGAGATGTCAAAGTAAACAACATTTCTTGTACTTCTTCTTCTTTCCATCCAGTCAACAGTATTCATCGTATTTACATTTTTTTTCTCAACTTTTCAATTGAGAAAATAAGAAATAAGACTGCGACCTTAAGTGTGAATGTATTTAACAATAAAATAAAATGTTACCCAACCCTTTTTCAATGCCTCACTGCTGCTTGCTGCTGCTGCTGAGCAGATTTCGGTAAATAGTCAATAGATGTAATTATTTATCAATATGTGCACATCTGTCTTGCAATTTGAAATTGAACTTCACGCTGCATTAATAACCTATATGTGCTCTTGAATTTAATTCATAAGCCTCATGCATATGCATATTTTTTTTAATGGGGTACAGTCCTACTTTCACCTTTAGTTACGCAAACAATCGAAAGGATTAATAAAATAATATTGATGAGTTTCTTTTCATTCTTCTTCCTGCATTTAAATTTTTTATTCATTCATCGGCTCTATTTGGATTTATGTTAATGAAATAGAAACTTATTTGTGCCACATGTTCGATGATATAATACGTTAAGAATAAAACTATTTAGGTATATATGCATGCTAACCCTTTTTTTATGTACATAAATAATCGTAAAGAATCCTTTTCCGTACAGCATTATGTGACATACACGAGG